CATACGCGAGTATCTTCGCTTGCGAGTTTATTTCGAGTTTCAGCAAATATTTCGCTCGACAAGCTTCAACTCGTTGCCCAACATTTTATTCTCGCGCGAGGAACAGTTGCGAAATAACAGCGATCTATCAAAATTTAAAATAAATTTAGCACGCTATAGATCTTCAGAGATTTGCGTGTAAGCGCTTGTTAGAGTTAGTGTTGCGTGAAAATTTGTATAAAATCGAGAAACGTCGACTAGTTTATTTACTCTGATTGTCAATCACTTGAATTAATCGACGAGGTTATTTGAAAATATTTTTCTTGTTAAACATCAAGCACTTTTAAAAAAATGCATGATGGATTTTCTAAGTAAGTATTATTCATAAAGATTGTGTGTGTTTGTTATGACAGATTAAATTTTTCTTTTTCTATTTCCATGTGTGTGTTTTATGTCAGTCAAATTACTCTCAAAATCAGAGTTTTATCGTCGGTTTTTTCTTTGAATGATTAATTTCGTTTAACTCATTTTCATTCAATTTAATCAGGCGACGTATAAATTGCATATTTATTTAATATTTATTAATTGCGCTTTCGTCACTAATCGTAAAATGTAAATATTCCATCGAGTTTTGCATACAATGTATGACGATAATAACTGCAACAATGCAAAGATAAATATTAATTACGAACATTAATCGCGCGTTTAAACTTTTATTTTATATGTTATAGTGTTATATTAATCTTTCCAACAATATATTTTCTGTTCAAATTTTACGCTTCTGAATTCTAATAAAAATATCTTTAAGTTATATATATTATAAATTTTAAATAATTTTTTAACTAGTCTAGAAAAATCTAGAAAATATAATAAAATCGTTTTTTAATTATCTTATTGTTAGATATATTTAATTATAAAATAATAAGTTTTAAGAGGCTTTTTCCCGTGAATTTTTCTTATCCCTCGAAATATCAGATATCTTTACATTTTCCTAGAAATTTTAATAATCTATTATATCACGACACAAACATGATTTAGTATAGATATATATTAGGTTATCACAGGGTACATGTGGCATTCTAGTTCACGAGACCGAAAAAGAAAACCAGAGATAAGTCGTTTTCTGTACCTGGTATTCTATCGGATTTTTTCCTGTCAGTACCACTAGAGACTGAATGGCTGCACTTTGTATGTATTTCGTTTCTTCACGGTTTACTTTTCTCCCGCTGACATACGGCTATTTTTGAGAAAGCCATCAAAGGAGAGAACTACGAGGCAGCGATGAGAAAACTGGGACTCTTGAAAATTCAACCGTTAATCTTTTCTTTACTTTAAGAAGCGGGCGATTATCTGAACCAACTATCGCCTCGGTTAAAAATTTCTTTTTTAAATTCAGTACTTATTTTTAAAAACGATCGACGGATTAGATTCGAGCAAAGAGTAAACTCATTGTCAATATGCGTCATCCTTACGATATGATCTTGCGTTACAGGGAAGTTCCTGACAGATAACGTGATACGACATTGCGATAAAAGTCGGGAAATCGAGACAGGACAAAAAGCAGTTGCTGAATGCAAGTGAGTATCGCTTTGAGTCATAGTTCCTTTTCTTCGTAAATTTTATACGTGGCATTAAAAAATTCAGAAGATGTAAAGTAGAAATGTTTTTAATGCGTCAAGATGAATCACGTCTACACAAAATTCCATGTACATTTTTCTTCATTTTTTATGTCGGCAAAATCCACAGCTTTTGTAATTCTCTTTCAAAGAGATTCACGACTCAAAAATACTATCACGGAAGCACTGTCGGAGAAAGCATCGTGCTTGTAAAAGGAATTCTATCCGCGGAACGTCTAAGCGCACGTGACATCATTCCCTTTAATCTTTGCCCGTCTAGAAATGCCGACTCGCATTTCGCGAATGAATCGTGGTAAAATCTTGCAGTCATACACTTTTGTTACGCAAGATGTAGCAAAACTCGACGCGAAATTGTAGAGGAAAAAGACGTTGTTTTTTGAAAAAATTTTCTTATGATAAATCTTTATAATTTATCGATGCAAATTTTATAAAACTTTCATCTCCATTTTTTCATTAATCGATCCAATCTTGTACTCTAGAAATACATGATATCATTTTATGGAATCGTATAATTGTTTATTCTAAAATCTGTGTAGCCACTTATACATATTTTTTTATTTGACACTTATTAATACACGTTATTCCACGAATATCTATCGTGAAACACGATAATTAATATCGATAATATTATCGCATTGTTGCAGCAATTTGAGATTACGACCGCGATACTGTCACGATTTGGAGTCCTCCGAGAGCACTCGATCGGGTGAGCTGACCAGCCGACTTTTGACCTGGAGAAGTCACGATCGTCACCCGATAGTGTTGCAGGTAAGCGATAGCCACCGCGTATGGTCGACACGAATCTGCGCACGGACCTGTTTGGCAGGTGTTTAATATCGTCTGCCTCACCTGGCTTAAAATTCTGACCGCGCGTGCGATTGATTTATTCTTTTACCTTCGCTTTTCATTTATTCGTGACGTTACATATTAACAATCGTTTTAATTTTGCGCATAAAATACTTATGCAATGAAATTATTTTTTATTTTTATCATTTTATTATTATTTCATTTGTCGTGGTATTATTTTTATTATATCATTTTAATATGTTACATTTTGCGCAACAAAATTTTTTATATTTCATTCTTAAAAAAAATTCAATCTTTAAATTTCACCAAGTTCGCATATCTTTCCCTTAAATCGTTTGTTTCATGATTAGATAGTATACATTAGATAGTATAGATAATGCATTTACACTAAGCGCAGTGTATTGCATGCATCGTAAAGCGTTAACATTAATGACCATAATACGCTAAAGTGGTGAACAAGGTAATACGTAGCATCCGTACTAATTTATCTCGGTCCAACCTGCAATGCACAGTTGCTACTGGGCTCTGGCTTATAGTTCAAAGTTACAAACAGAGATGCACATTAATAGGTACACTTCAAAGTAGCATAATTCTGTAATAATCAAGATATTAACTTGTCGAATAGCATCAGACACATTTTTCTATGGCTCATTAATCGAAAAAAACTGATAAAACCGTAAAAAAAAACTGTAATATCTAACTTGTAATATAACTGTAATATAAACAGTCTGATAAAAAATATTTCATTACATTAGAAAAATATATATCGTCCGTGCAGTCTTATTTTTTTATACGGATATCTCTTTGTAACGAAAGTGATGAACTGATCTCTTCATTCGACTTTTGCCGCACATTTTCAGTGTAACGTGCCGCATAAAACTCGATGCATTCAGGCTCGCACGTTCAAGGTCGCAGGATAATACGCAACACCTATGCACACGTGGCTGGCCGCGCGCGCGGCGCACGCATCATCCTTTTTTTCTCCTCTTTCCCTCGGCCGCCCTTCGCGGGAGAAACCGGAGCGGGATGAAAATTGTCGGAGGGGGCGGAATTTAATTCGCGAGCATGCGCCGCGTCTATGGGGGAATCATCGGTGGGGTTGCCACTACCCCCCTCCTGCCTGTGTTGTTATTGATCAAGGATCTCTCTCTCTTTCTCTTTCTCTCTTTCTCTCTCTGTCTTTTCGTTCCGACGTGAAGCGGTTAAAATATATATCGCACCACGAATCGCGCACGCAAAAATTTATGCTACAATACGTAATTAATTTATGTGCTTTCGGGATTCTCGCGGATATATTTTACGGCCGTGAAGAGAAGCGACGAATTATAGGGAGGGAGGGAGGGATAATAATCGCGAAGTGTTAGGGATAATTTATATACGCGGCGATATAAATAACTTTGCGCGATAATCATGTCAGGGAAACACTCTAGATAAGATCTTAGAATCTCAACGAGCGAATAATTAAGATAATGAAGTGGTACGAATCTCGTCTTATCTCGCGCAACATATATTAAAGAAATTCGGAATGATTTTTCAAAAAATACCGCAAAACGTGTATTTCATGTATCTGATATCTTTACGTAATTTATGCTTACGCCAATGCAAATTAATACAACCCGCAACTACTTATTTTTATTTTGCGGCTGCAAAGTCCTATATCGCGCGGTTTAAAATATACTCCTCGTACACGCGATATTTGTGCTGCAATTCTTGCAATCGAATGACGTACCAAGCCACTTACTGACGTTTCATTGGTTCGCGTGAAACTCTTCGTAGATAAGTACGATGTGTTATATTAATCAGATATGAAATTCCATTAATTCCGCGCGATTTCAGAACCATCTCTCGCGACCCTCCTCTTGCATCAATTAGAAATTTCCTCGTCGAATGAGATTGTTATCCGCTTGATAGTAATAAAGATCCATTCGGTTAATGAAACGCGAGATTGCTGAAGAGGAGAAGCGGAATGCCGCGACTCCTTGATTAGATAGACACGAGAAGAGCCCCTCGATCAGAGATGGACCGCCGACCAGTGAAAGGAAGAATTCTCGATTAGGTCATCGAAGAAAAGCTCTTGATAATCCCCCACGAAGAATAGAACACGGCGATTTGTTAGAGAACAGTGTAAAATACGCGAAGGCGCGGTCGGCTGGATAATCATCAGTTCTCGATAATTTATTAAAGTATCTTTATACAAGCGAACTGGATCTTTGTAATTATGAGGCTATTAATTAAATTAATCGATACTTTATGGCAGAATTATTCTAGAAACTAGAAAAGCTAGGAAAGACTTTAAGAAATTTACTTTTTTATTTTTTAATATATTAAGATGAATGCATTGCATAATTTTATTCACGACATAATTTATTCGTGAATTATATTCGTTTGAGTGTAAACATTTGGAAAATTTCAGAGAAGCAATGTAATCTCTCATACAGAATATGAAATGATATCACATAGTACATCTTTCGAAAATATTGTTTCTAATCATCGCAAATAATTTTTCATTAAATTGTGATTAAAGCTTGAGACACGGAGAACAATGTTTCTCAGAAAGAAAAAAAACGTAACAAGCATAAATCATAGATTTATGCATTTCATCACATGGACATCACATAGCGTCTTATTGTATTCCTGCGAGTCATCGCTAATAAGCAATTTGTCATTTAATCTGAAGCAACCTCTCGAGACATCAAGAGTAGGAAAATATATTCCCTCCTACGAAGAAGAGACCGCGATAGAAACAGGCTTCTAATTAAACGGAGAAAAGAGAAACTCGTCGTAAATCAAGAAAAAGGAAAAAGAGAAAGAGAGAGGAATGTAGAAGCGATTGTCGAAGAACGACGAAATCGACCTCGAAGAGACGGAAGCAGGAGGGAGAGAACTGGAGAGACTAAAAGGAGGGGGATAGATCGAGTGAGTCAGTGATGGCGTGCAGCAGCAACCCAGGCCGAGCCCAGCTGTTCCTCGGATCCCCTAACTTACGCCAGTTTATTTCAGCCACTAACACTACGAGGTCTCTGCCGCTCGTGATCCGTGAACCTACCGAGGCTGCCCAGCCTCGTTAACGGCGTAGCTCCTGGTGCTCTTTACGCGCTTCCGTCATCTCGATGACGATAGGAATAGTACCGATGACGGAAGGAAAGGCCAGGACGACGAGGGGGAATCGCGCTTCACTCACGATCGAGACCGATTTCCGATATCATCATCTTGACGTTTGCGAGACGCGACACGCGCCAGCTGTTCGTCGATCGCGCGTCTGTGTGCGTATGTGTGAGTAAGTGCGTCAGGTCGGCCTGATCGTCGGAGCCGGTGGCGCGTTCTCGTCTCGCTCGCTTTCGGAATTGCCTTCGTTTTCCTTGTGCGTGTCCCCTTTCTCGGGAATCGTCGCCACGGAATTTTCCATCGCCTCCGATTTCCCTTTAATTGCGCGATGCCGCATTCACACACGCGGCTTCGCTCACCGACATTCGCGATGTTATTCGCCTCTTGTCAATCCATTAATAAAAGCCGACCTGGAAAGAATCGTTTAGATTTGTCTTTTTAATTGTACATTCAATAAACGTGACAGTTATGTCATTTTTTATATCCTAAAAAATCTCTGAATATATCTTTTTATATTGAATAAAAATTATTTAGATCTAGAGTTGGATCTGCATTTGAGTGACAATTAATTAATTCAATTCCAATTATAATTCTCCTGAATTAATAAAAAAAAAGCGAAATTTATATTTAATATCTTTCCTATCGCGTTTTGATCTTCCTCCGTGAGAGAAACGATGAATCAATAAAGAATGCCATTCACACCCCGCCAAGTCGAGACACGACAGCCGATTGAATAAATCGTTTTCGGTTAAGGTATCCGGTAAGATATCTTGTCACCGGGGAAAAAGGAAACAAAAGTGTCGCATCAGCTGATTATCCGATTATCCGATGGATCGATCCGATGATTATCGAAAAACGCGTCACAATCGACTTTCGAGAGAAACCTTAAGTAAGTAAAGAAAACGTGACGACTATTATTACGCGACACGCACGTGCAGTTGCATTGCGCCGGTGTGTTTGCGAAATGCAAATTCGCGCGTGGGTCGCGAACTGGCAGCTGCATATAACTATAAATGGCACGCGCAAAAGCGAGGCATTGACACGTATATCGCGGGGAGAGGTAGATCGAACGGGGGGGGAGGAGGAAGGGGAGGAACCATCGAAACGATTCGTACCTTTGTTTTTTATCATCCCCGGTTTGCTTTAAATAGAACGAACTTGGATGGAAATGCGATGCGTGTTCGTCGCTTCCATTGAAATCTCGTGCGCGGTAACTTGGGCGGTCGAGAAAATCAGATTAGATCTCCTCGGTCTCTCTAGTGAATGCCTCCTGAATGTTAAATGAATGCGCGCTGATAACCCCCGGAATTGAATATATCGTATACTCTCGTCAGAGTCTTGTTTACTTGTATTTCTTATCTTCTAAAATATTATATATGAATAGTAAACGTCAAAGCATCTGATGAAAATATAATCTTGAGACAATTAAAAATAATAATAAAATATTTTACGTGTACATTTTCTATAAAAAGAGATGAAGGAGAGCTATATTGAAAACTGTGATAAAAGAGAACACAATTTGCTGCAAACTAGAACATTATAAAAATACCAAGAAGCGACAGCATCTATTCTCCGCGTGACCTCTAATTTCACAAAAAAAACTTTATTATTGACAGACTCGAATTCTGCTTCTATCATAAAAACATCCCTCATCGGTTCTTCACGAAACACTGATTCTCTCGTCCCATCTAAGCCATTGATTGTACTTGTGTCGCGGATGAAAAGAAGGATGCAGGGACGCGACGAGGGGGTGAGGTGTAATCTACGGTGACTAGATGCGCGACTAATTGCACTTGCAGAGTACATCCGCGATATACATAGCTAAGGTGGGAGAGAAGAGACGCGCTGCGTCAAGGATACTCATGGACCGCAATGGCAGCTGCGGCGGTGGCGGCGGTGGCTGAAATGCCAGAGGGACATTTTGAAAATCTTTGGTTCGGCGCATGCGTCCCGGCCTCCGATGGAGCGCGATGGACCCGTTGTCGTCTCTGAACCGCTGCTGTTAGAAGAAACGATTCGCGTCGAGAGGAAACTACGCATCTTCGACGACGCCGAAAGTCGGGGATCCTCGAATTCCCGGTGCTCAACGGATCGGCAAATAATCAGTGCGTAGTGAGTGAACGTCATTGGTCTCACGAGATAAACAATCGTCTGCTCTCGTTTCGATACGATCGATAGCGAGAAAGATTTTTCCAGAGAGTGAGAGAGAGAGAGAGAGAAGTGCCACCCGATAGAAAGAGAGAGAGAGAGAGAGAGAGGAGTGCGTGTTTCCCCGAGGTGTTCGATCGTTGCGACAATTTTCAATGCGCGTCTCATGCGAATGTCGAGACTGGCAGAGACGAACGAGACTGAACGAGTGAATGTTCCATGAAACTGAATTGGAGACGCGGCGAGAGATGCCGGGTGAAAATCGCGACCAGCTGGCGAGAAGCGCAGGAGGAAGCGCACCAGGAGGACCTCGCAGAGAGTCCTCGAGGGGTGGCGAGCCGGATCCTCGTAATCGCGGATTAACCACGACGATGATTCCGCTTCCGCGCACCGGCCAGTTCGCGGCCGTCTCGCAGAATCAGAAGATCGTCAAGACGGAGAAGAATCGGTTGAGGCTCATCTTGGAGAGTCGTGGGACCGTCAACAAGGAGCGGAGGATTGGCATGCAAGAGGAGGAGGAAGAAGAGGAGCAAGTGTCGCGGAATAATTGGCAAGTGTCGGCCGCCAATTGCTCGACTATTGCGCGATTCAACGAAGAATCCGGCATTTCTTATCGGAAGGGAAAGGTGATTAAATGATTAATTAAATGAAGTAATTTTAACCGGGGGAATGTTAACTAGGTCGTTGAAATGTTAAGCAATAACTATACCGATGACGTATAGCTCTTTTCTTTGGTTTCTCTTGTATTATTTATTTCAAGATACATCATTTTAATAACGTGGATAAAGATTGACAAGTGCGTCATATTTTTATTATTTATTTACTTTTCATTTTCTAAATTATCGATTTAATTTTTTGCACGGCATAAGATGAGTCGAAAAACATAGAATCAGTGACATATGTAATATTACAATTATGATAAGGATTCATTAGAGGGAAACAGCGAATTTATGTATACACACTCTCTCTATAAAAAAATTATTATTTTAAGGCTAATAATATGTATGGAAGACATCTTCATCTATTCCGAGAACACTTTCCGGTTTTAAATTGGGTGTTTTAACAAAAAAAAAAAATACTTTTCTCGCTTGAGCGATATAAGATTCACACAATTCGCGCACTCGCCTCGAACTCTCTGGACATTCGAGCAATTAGGATAATTTAAACGAGCGCAGATTTCCTTCCAAACAGGGCGCATCGCGACACCTCCCGCAGCAACAACCGGAAATTTACTTTCGTCGTTCTCGCATCACTGATCGGCACGCTCTGTTTTCTATTTGCCTTTCGATATTGAACTCTCTAGAGTGCTTTCCCAAAACGTTCGCTTACTAATTCGGAATTCTCTCTAATTCTCAAATATAACACGATTTCGTTTACTTTGAAAATATCAAATCCAATTTCGAAAAATTGATAATATAAATATTTTTCAGTAAACTAAAATTTAAAATGCAAAATTTTCTAATAAATCAAAAAAGTGGGCATAGATCATTTTCGAAATAAACGGTTCATACCTCGCTGATTTAAATTGCGTTTAAATGCGCAATTAATTAAAACATATATAATTAATATAATCATAAATTCTCCTCCTAATATAATGTTCAAAATTGTTTGAATATCATGTTTTTTAATTATTTATTAATTATTATTTTTTTAAATTTTTATCTTCACAATTAAAATTTTTTTATATCTTAATTAAAATTAGGATTTTAATTTAAGCTAAAAATTCATGTAAATTTTAATTTTATATAATACATCGTTTTAATGTCGGCGGTGATATAACGCATAATTCACTTTGCCGATTTTCTATAATTAAAATTGAAATCGAGGCGAGGAGTAAACTGCGCCTGCGAAAACACATAACACTTGTCTAGATTCTCGAACGGAAGCGCTTATTTAACGCGGTCTTAGATAACATGCACAAAGACAAAAGGATACCTTCGAGCGTGGAAGACGTTCGTGAAGTTTATGCGCACAAACTATGTGACCAAAATACACTTCCTCGCCTCCTTGGTCGTGTCGAAAATAAAATTCGTGGCCCACAATATCGTTTCATCATAACGTCATCCTATGTAAACAATATAATCATCGTCATTTCAAGAGAAAACATTAATTTATCACGTCTTCTAAAATAATTGATATCTTTCGGAAAATTTTTATCATTTCTAACTGATAACAGTATTTTTTTCAGGCATTTTATGATGCACATCGGTCGCATACGACAAAGTATCATTATTAAATATTATTAAATGCCTGAAAAAGATACTGTGTCATTATCAATTGGAATACGATGTAATAATGATAATTCGCGTCGGGTTATAAAATAAAAATAACACAAAGGAACTAGCGCAGCATCGTCGCAAACGCAGCTATCTATCCGGCGCGATCGCAATTGAGTGAGTCATTCGCCAATTACGAAATGATTAAACTGTCGGATCCGTTCCTCTTAAACGGCCCTCTTATCTCGATGCATCATCAACCTCGGTGCTTGTTTCAACGAGCCGAATTCCGCTTACCTGATCTGACGGCGCTTCAGCAAATCGCAACGATAAAGCGGTCCATTTCGTTATCTGTCAATCTCGTGGACATGCCTCGCAACTGTCATGGGACGTCAATTTTTATTTACTTAAAGACGAACATATCTTGCCGATCGCCAAGTTTACGGTCGCCGGTTAATGAGCTCGCGGGAGAAAGGGAACGGAGAAAGCTAAATAGATTCTTACCTCGTCTTATTAAGTTTCCGTCTTTGCGATTTAACAGGTAGGATTTAGCCGCATCTTGATTATTCATCTCGGAGTAAAGATTATTGCTTTAATGCGAAGTGTATAATCACATGCGAAGCCACGTGTGGCAAGTTTGACAGATGAAGAAGTAGCGAGAGCTACGTATGTAGATTCATCCAAGTCATGTTCTTAATCGTTATATTGACAGCCTCGTCTAAAATCTGTCTGCCATTTCGGAAAATTGCGTGCAATTTTATCTGAATGCCGGAGAAAACAGTGAAAGTATTTATTATAAATAGCGGAGAAATGCGCATGCTTTTGCTTATTCTTGGAGTTCAACGTGCTTTTAATCACTCACGCAAAAGGAGATGCAGGTTTTTATTTTCACGTATTTATTATCTAGCTCTTTAGAAGAGCTATTTATTATATCCTATTTATTATATAGCTCTTTGGAATCCATTTAGATATTAGAATGAAGAGGTATCACTAGCCTAGCCTAGGTCCAGATAGCAAGCCTAATCATTCGCTGTAAATAATAGACACGATAGCACTATGTGGTATACTATTAATAATCTTAGATTTCGATATTGATATTCTCTGATCAGAATTCAATTTTTATTACGTTTATAATACAGCATAACGCGTAAATTATATACAATTTAAAATACATTTATAATTTTTCAATAATTTCCTGATTTTATTATAATCAGCACACATATTTACACGCTACAGCTCTATTTTATTTATATTTCTCGTTCATATGTTGCATTATTTTTACAACGATATTTCTCGGTGTAAATTCAAGATTTCTCCGCGTATATTGAAATGCTTTTAGAAATTGGCATGAAATATATGGCTGCGATACGATAAAACGCCCTGCCTTCGCATAATTGCGCAAGCAATTATACCACAAGTAGCACGCTAATTAACGGTGCGGTGCACACAGTGCGACTGCAATTCTAATTGATACATACATCGCAGCTCATCGCCGTTTCACGATTTCTTACTTATGTGAAGATTTTTCTAACGATATAAGATGCACATTAGAATTCTCTTTATTAAGATAATATATTGGTGCAGCATATATTTATATCTCTTTAAATTTTGACCTTAGAATCTTCAAGTAGCGCAAATTCTATTCTAAATACACACCATGACGCTTCTATACCTTCAAGCTCATAAATGATGACTCTAATCGTTATTGCGCTTTCACTAACGGGAGAATATTACATCTTTGATGCAAGTAACACAAACCAATCAGAACCGGCGTTGAATCAAGTAATTTATTCGCTAATAAATCTGTCGAGATTAAGTCACTTAATTACGAATACTGGATGCATTTGATTCTATTGTGCATAATGGCTTCAGATATGATAATCAACCTAATCTTCTTTCATTTCCACCTACATGTCATTCTTATTAAATAGTGAATAAGCAAGAAATAGTAGATTTGTATATACACTGTATTAATCTTTTTTCACATCAACTATAAGCTTATCGGTTGATAGTTTCATTAAGAAAAAATCAAATTAAAATAAACATATCATATAAATTTTTTTTAAATTTACGAATTAAATTTTTTAAACGCGAGTTTATTTTTTTTATTCTTATTTATTACTATTATTTATTATATTATTTTTATTTATTTTTTTCAAATAAAATAACAGATATTTATGGGATTTTTAATTCAATTATTTTATTTCTCTCGAATTTATTTCGAATTTCATAAGAAATTTATTCAGAAAATTTATCCAAAAATCTCGAACTGCATTTGCGGTAAACTTATTATTTTCTTACGGTGCGATTTCCGCACATCCTTCTCTTTTTTTCCTCTTTCCTTAGGAAGATACCAATGTCTATCAGCGAATCAGGAACAGAGCGCTATTTTACATTTTTACAAAGTTTTTCGATTTATAAATTCGTCCACGAGGAAATTTCTTTCGAGCGAGCTTGTACAAGTTCATTATTTTCAGCACGATTTTCACTTCCGCGATTAACGTACGCATCCTCTTCCTCTTCTTTTCTCTCTTTCCAGGAGAACGCGGATATCCGGCGAGACAGATTGCGCGCGACGGAGGGCCGCGTGCTGTGCGGTTCGGCGGCGAGCGTCGGGGTGGAAGGCGTCGGCGGCGCGTGGGGTGCCCAGAGACGGCAGTCGCCGCCGCCCCTGGCATCGCGCAGGCTGGAGTCGGCCGCTGACGCCGTCGTCGCCGCCGCCGCCGCAGCAGCAGTAGCCACAACAGCAGCGTCCTTCAACCCCGTCACGCAGAGATGTGCGAAGAAGGGCGCCGTCGATGCCGTCGCGCCGAGACGGATCTACCCGGGTCCTCCTCTCGTCGCTGAGACCAGTAAGGAGGATGCCATGGAGCCGGAGGCCAAGGAGGAGGACGAGCGACGCTCGTCGACGCCGAGTCCCGAGGTAGCGTTCTCTTCCTTTTTCTTCAGCTAGTTTGGTCTTGGAAAAAAATTTGTTACATTCGTGCGACAGAAAGATATTTATACTCGTTTAGAAACTTTGATCCGCCGATGGATTACGTGTTCCTTAAAATTGAAACTCGTCGCTTTACATACGCGATGGTAGTGTTTGTCGCGGATCAATTCTGATTGTCTGGCTAGAACGGTTTACGTGTATTGTTTGTTTGCGTCGATATTAATATTGACGCATGTCGTTCTATTTAGACTGCTAACATGTCAACTTTCAGAGTTTAATAAAATCTGCAGCAACGAGAATAATTAAAATTGCTGAGCGTGAAACGTTCTTCAAGCTAAGAGGGAAAATAGCAGAAAATTGCAAGAAATATTATTAGTATCATTATTAGTTGTCAATCCAACCGGGATTATATAAAAAGATCGTAATCTTTTAATTATAAATTTTTCTCTCCATTATAAATATTTTCTATTATAAATATTCCCTGTTATAAAAATACATTTCTCTATTTAATATCCATACAAATGTAACTTCGGTTCCGAATATTTAGGAATTACACGCTAGATACGCAATGTAAGTCGAGATAGTTGATTTCGTTACGAGTTTACCTCTGCGAAAGGGACAAAGGTTGAAAACCACTGCCTTGATACACGAATTGCCTGCCTTGTGCTTGTGGCGCACGAGTATATACACCTTCACTAACGTACCGCGTATTGATTTTACGGAACCCTCACCTTCCGTCTCCGTCTATCCGCCGTTCTCGTCTCACTCGTTCTCCCGCACGTATACGTGCATTTCCTCTCTTCCCTCTCCCCGGGTCTATCGCTCCGTCCTTTCTCTTTCGCTCGGGTCTGCCCTTTAAGTCGTCACCCTCCGCTGTGCGGCATCTCTCCGAGGATCCCTATTCATCCGCACTTGCGCACGTGTTGAAAATTTCAAGCTCCAAGCACGATGCACGGCACGTTCCTCTTGTGTACGCTACTCGATTCACAGGGAATTGATGCTTTTACAGATGTAAAACTTGTTCGAACGTTAATCGTTCAAGTAGAACTAACGATATATCGACAAATAAACAATGCTTCTCTTATATAACGATATACTTCGCTGGACGTTTTCAAAAGACTATCAGTTATCGAATCGATTAGCAGGTAAAATGGCTAGATAAAATGACATTGGTTTATTGATTCTGAAGATAAAGACTGTTGAGAAAGCAAATATTTGTCGATGGAATCACGCGAGAAATTTATTGTATTATCGATATGAACGAATCTGAAGGAGGAAATCTTTCACGTTACAGTTCTACTTGAGGAGAAGTAAACGTTACAACGAGGATGGCAGTAGCGAGGAGGAAACTAAGCAAGATAGCATCTCTCTGCCCAACCACAGGCTGCCGTCTTCGTACCGCGGAACGTGGCCCATCAGAAGAGACGTATGGGCTAATCAGCAGATTGGCTTTCCGGCCCAGCAGAGCACATCACTCGCTGCGCACAATGTAAGTTGAACGATTATAACGGTGTATTATGTTGCGTTTGCCATCTCTCGCATGTACGGGGTGTCGAGAAACCATTGCGTGTCCTTTTGCGACATTCTAAAGAGACATGTTAAAGAGACAGGAACCGATGGTTCTCAAACATCCTGTATAAAGAGATCCCAAGAAGAGGCATATTAGATATATAAAAATTTAATTAAATACTTGCGCAATTATTTAACAAAGTATAAACGCAACATGAAATATGTATCTGCGAGCAGGACGTGGCCAGCGTGATGAGTTTCTCGTCATCTTCAAATTCCGCGGGTCTTGACAGCCACTCCGTGGAATTGCAAGGCCACCGACGACTGGGTGCCAAGGTAGACGTGGTTTACAACCTGTTGGGAATGCTAGAGAAGAACGGTCGGGATGACATGAGCACCACTCTGCTTTCCATGAGTACTTCTTTAGATAGCTGTCTGGTGATGAGGCAATCCGGATGCCTGCCTCTGCTCGTGCAGTTGATTCACGCGCCCAGACAGGATCCAGATACGCGGGACAGAGCTATGCAAGCATTGCACAACGTGGTGCACGCCAAGAGTGACGAGAGAGCCGGTCGTCGTGAGGCGCGGGTGCTTCGGTTCCTCGAACAGCTGCGCGATTATTGTCAGAGTCTAAGAATGTCCTTGGAAAGAGGTCAGTCCATGGATGACCTGGAGAGAGGACATCCCGCAGCAACGATAGCCGCGCTCATGAAATTGTCCTTCGACGAGGCTCACCGTCACGCCATGTGTCAACTGGGTGGTCTTCACGCGGTCGCGGAACTCATCGAGATGGATCACTTGGCGCACGGTAGCGAGAGCGACGACCAGAACTGCATCACGTTGCGACGATATGCAGGAATGGCATTGACCAACTTGACTTTCGGCGACGGCAACAACAAGGCGCTACTCTGCTCCTTCAAGGAATTTATGAAGGCTTTGGTATCGCAGCTGAAAAGTCCTAGCGACGATCTTAGACAAGTGACGGCGAGTGTTTTGAGAAACTTGTCCTGGCGCGCCGACAGCAGCAGTAAGCAGACCCTGAGAGAAGTAGGAGCGGTGACGGGTCTAATGAAAGCCGCCATGGAAGGTCGCAAAGAATCCACTCTGAAATCTATACTATCCGCTTTGTGGAATCTTTCAGCTCATTGCAGCACAAATAAAGTGGATATATGCGCCGTAGATGGCGCACTGGCTTTTCTCGTCGACATGCTGAGCTATAAAGCGCCGTCCAAGACGCTCGCGATAGTCGAGAACGCCGGCGGTATCCTTAGGAACGTGTCGAGTCACGTGGCAGTGCGAGAAGATTATCGAGCTATCGTGAGGGAGAGAGGTTGCTTGCAGGTTCTCCTGCAGCAGTTAAGATCACCCAGTTTGACCGTGGTCAGCAACGCCTGCGGAGCACTCTGGAATCTATCCGCGAGGTGTCCTCAGGATCAGCGTCTCCTTTGGGATCTGGGAGCTGTGCCGATGTTGCGTAGTCTCGTCCATTCCAAGCATAAGATGATCTCGATGGGTTCTAGCGCGGCCTTGAAGAATCTATTGAGCGCTAGACCCGGTTGTAATAATCTCGTTCATTTGGATTCCACCGCGCGAGGACTTGGATTATCGACCCTGCCAAGTCTAGCTGCTCGCAGACAACGGGCTCTAGAGCAAGAAATCGATCAGAATCTAGCCGAGACTTGCGACAACATTGAACCGAGTACATCGCCGATCAACAAAGACGACAAGTTCACATTCAAACTCGATCATAGTTTCCTCGGCATCAATACCCATGGTCTGCGCACTTATCAGTTACACAGTCAGCCCAGCACGTCTACCGTCAAGTGTAATGGAGTCGCCAGAAGCGAGAGTAGAGATTCTATGCGTTCAGTGACGAGCACGCACTCCGACACAATGTTCGAGAGAGTGAATCGTCACGTTCTGAATGGTTCATCACCTACCGATTCGCAGATGAAGCAGCAATCTTCATCGCTTCATTCCGCGGTTGGATTCGAGGGTGCGTGCGGCGATACTCATACAAAAGCCACTTCATCCGAGAGAAAATATACCTTGCGTTACAAGAATGCTATACCTGAACGACTGAGACCATCCGATGGCTTTGACGTGAACGAACTGAGATGCACGAATTCTACTATATCGTGGGCTACAGCACCGAATCAAGAACCATCTCAGACCTCATTACACTCTTCCATCGAGAACAACATGTCCCTGATCGATCAGAGCGCGTCGTCTTCGTCCAAAGCCGGCAGTCAATCCAGTGTCTCCGAGGAAGCTGAACCGACCGTGTGCGCCAAGTCGGATTATCGACGAACAACCGCGAAAGCTATCGATAGCTCGAAGCAGGTTTCTTATTTGCGTGATATTTCTCCTATGAAAGAAAACGCAACTTTTAGCAACGTCTACGCGGAGAAGGCTCTGTTACGGCAACACGACACCCTGAACAACATTCAGAAAGCGATATCGCCTACAATCGATCCGGACAATAACCTGTTCGGCGATTATGCCGAAACGGATTTAGATCAGCCGACCGATTACAGTCTGCGCTATGGCGAGCAAACTATAGAGGACGAGAAGCAACACTCCGGCTTTTTCTCGGCCAACGATCAGGGACTTCTGCACGAGGACACGATAAGAACTTATTATACGGAGGGAACGCCACGTGAGGCGTCCTTAAATTCGTCCAGAGCTACTTCCGCTTCGGATCTGCAGGACGATAGTCGTATGAGAAACCCGTCAAAAAAGTTATCAGAACGATATAAGGTGAGGCATGCCGAGGATCATGGTGAATGCAAAGCGTCGTCCTTGACGGACGTGCCAAAATTGAATGACTTCGCCGAATCGGTGACACCGTTGAATTTGCGAGGCGCAACGCATCTTACGGATGACGAGAGTACAAATCACTCATTACCGTACCTTGAGGAAGATTTAGGCAAGCAAATCAAAACGATTCAAGAAGACGTATCCATCCAAAACCATTCAAGGTATAATTATATTTTAATTTCTAAATAATTATTTCATATTTATATATAAAATATAAATAAATTTGATTAATTCTAATCACATTATAAGCTTGAATTGTTATATACGTATCAAATTAGAATTTTCGTTAACATCTTTTGTTAACATTTTTGTTAATATTTGCATAGTGTAAGAACGACACCGATTTCGATGGTATTAGGAAGCTCTGAATATAATGATGATCACGATGCAGAGTCCAGTTCTAGGATTATTAGTATAGGTAATTTAATATATTTAGAGTACAGTTCCTATTTTTTATAATTTAAATAATTTTGTCGTAAACAATACAAATTTACAGACTCCAAATCAAATGATTGTAAAATAAATAAACCGTCGAGTGATGTTGAATTCTCTGAATCTGGCAATAATACTGCTTTGAAGACTGCTAATAACGATTCAGGATGTAAGTAATCTAATCTCGTGAAATTAAAAAAATTCTGACGATCCAATAAACGTAAAAAATCTTTCCGAATATATCCAGATCAAGTTAGTGACGGAGATGAAGATGACGAGGATCTATTAGCCGCTTGCATTAATATTGGAATGCAAAATAATAGGTAAAATTATAAAATATTAATGAGATTATTAAAAAATATTAGCAATTGTATTATTATTTTGTAAATTTTTTTAGGCATAGGCATTCCTTCATAGGGAATAATCTCGAGAAACTTCCTCGATCAGAAAGTAATCTGACTCGATATCAAACTAGTCTCGCTCTAGATCAAGTCGAACATAATGGAACTGTAGAATCTGATACTTCATTATTTAATATAAAATATGCGGAATCTCGTGAAACCACAGCTGGCAGTGACTTATCAGAGAAAAATAGAGACAAGAAGGATAACGAAGAAAATATTCAAATGGAAGCAGCTACAGTAAGATCATTCTTTTTTCAGACTTTCTGCTATGTCGGTTTTTATTTTAATTATATTTTAAATTGCGATATCATTTTTTTCTAGGTGATGACAAATATGAATCACGAATACATGTACAATATTGAGAAACCAAATAATGCTTCAGCCATGACAATAGTAAATGATGATAATTTTGAAAATAATTTCTCAGCGATAACTGTATTACAGAAACCTGACATGTTCTTAAGTAAGAATGTATCCAATAACTTTAGTGAAAATGATGAGCGGAATACAGTTGAAAAAGACTGCATTACACCAATGGACGAGGCAACGGTCGATGATCAGATTCCAACGGACATTCCATCAATGAAGCAATCATTTACTAAAGATTCCGAAAGTAGTGAATCGATTGACTCTGTCGAGCAATCCGAGCATGCTCTTCTAGAATTGTGTATTCAACCTAGTATAAAATCCGAAAGCAACATCGCCATCAATCCAAGTAATGCAGAGTACGTTAAAACGCAGCTAGAATTATACAATAAACAAATAGACTTCATAAAAGGAAGAAATCATATTTCCGAGGAACTCTCCGAGATTGATGGCAACATGGATGGAAAACCGGAAGCACCATTTGAAATTGTAAGGACTTCGGATGTTTTGCATCGCGAAAGCGCAGAAAAGCACATAAAAGAAGAGACATATAGACGACAGAGAGATCCCGACGCTATGATTGCTTCGTTGGATCGATTGACGGCAACGTTAGTTCAACAAACTGAAGCCATACGCGAGAGAGATTCCAGCACAATGAAACAGAGCTTGACATGCGACACGTGGAACGAGGATTCTCCCAACGATGTTTCTTTCCCCAGCATCAGTATAAGTGCACCGCTGGTCGCTTCGTTCAACAGCGATGCACAAGAAGATCAGCGTACTAACGTACTAGAGAACAATGCGCAAGTCGAAAATAACGAACAGACCGCCATGACAGAATCGAAAATCATTCAACGTGAGGCCATTAAACTGGCGGAAGCTGTCGATGCAGAGGTGAATAATCAGAACGAACTCGAGACGACGAGTTTGACGTCTATTGATCTCGAGGCGATCAAACCGCCGTCCTCGATGGGAAGTTTATTATCATTGACCGCGAGCTACGCTGGCTCCGCTGACAACAGCGAAACATTCGTCAACCGGGACAGGTGTTATAGCACATCTTTACCACCGGTTTCAACAAGATGTTCCGCCGATCCTCGCAATGTGCGAAAAAAGTCTCTACCGCTCGGCGTAGTAGCTAAACGAGCGTTAGGTCAAAGTCAGAGTCACACATCCAGTTTGGAGAATCTGCTAAACGAGTGTACCAGCTCGCATCTGGAGAATGTTAAACCGCCATCCATGATGGATGAATTGCCAGATGTGGGCGACATGGAAAATAGCATGGTCAGCGTAGCCAGCATCACATCGGAGATCGCAGACTCGAAGGAGCAGGATTCGCACAGTCTCACTGGTAGTGATCCGGCGGTGTTCGAGATGCTAAAGCCGGTCGCCAATGTATTATCCATGACGTGTATGCGTTACGCCGAGGGTATGCAGAGCAGCGCAAACAACAGTCTGAGTGAATGTTTGGAGAACATCAATCCGCCGTCCTTATTTAATGAGGTGAGCGAAATGGACGAGTCCACAATGGAGGCGACTACTGATACTCTGTGTAGCGACACTCTGTGCATAGAAACGGAACTGCACACTGATGAAGTGGTGCATTCGATCGTGGCGGAAGTGATCGATGAGGCAGAAAATGATACCGACGAGGCGGTCACTCCGATTTCGTCCGAATACTGCGTCAGCAGCTCGGCAGAATCGACGCCGAAACGGCGCCCGCATCTGAAGACTCATTTGACCCCAAAGCAAAAACGGAACTTGACGAAAGAGAGATATAAGACTTATACTATCGCTGCGGAGATTGTTAAGAAGGAACAGGAAGAACGCCGAAAGCAGGATGGTACTTGCAACAATGAGGAGGGTGATAAAATTCCACGTGAAAAATACTCTCCCTTTTCGAAACTAACGCCAAAACAACGCAGGCAAGAAAATAGAGCGAGATTTCAGACACAAGTACTGGAGAATCCCTTCCCGGATCTGAATTTAACTCAAACTAATGAAGTGCAAGACTTAGTTTCGGCTAGGAATTCCGTCGAAAAACAAGAATCCACGTCTCCCAATAAATCCTCTATTCCCACGCTCACCAAGTTACCTATGTGCAGAGCGTTGAGGAAAAAACGCGGGAATTCTCAAGAGAATAAAGAACGATATCGCACAAGGACGTTGAACGATTCGGAAACCATGTTCAAAGAGGTCGAGCATAATTCCGTTTCGAACACCAATGCAGCAGAAGAAGAACAAATAAATGCGCAAGAATATCATGAGGAGATTCAAACGATGTTAGAGCAGAATGCCACTATCGTATTAAACACACTGAATGAATCAAATAAAACTAACGGAGATGATATTTTGCGTTGCGAAACCGTCAATTTGACGTCGCATGATTCTGAGTTGGATCATAATTTAAGAATGCGCTTTGTAAACGGACTTTCGAAGAAATTGATGAGCACTCAACAAGCTGACAACGCACAAACTCTCGCAACAAATATTGATCATGAAGAGGCAGAAGCCGAGTACATGAAAATCACTCGTGAGGATCTGGGCTCAGCAGATCCGATTGAATCAGGTAGCGATGAAGAGTCCAACTGCGATGAGGAAAAGGAACCAAGAGAGACAAAGAGGCCACGAATAATTAAGCCGGGAATGCCAGGTCGAGATCCGAGCGTGGATTCCAATGCAACGGATAAATCTGAGCCGGAAAGCCCAAAGGCGATTCGAGGACGAAGGAAGGCGCTTTATTCGAACCCAATAACGCGAAAACCAACGCCGCAATCGTCGCCGTTGAAGCAAGTCAATCTTACCAGCGGGATACCCATAGGTCGTAGCAATACCTCGCCCATTGTCAGAGCTACCAGAGTCACCACTTTGCGACAGAATAGTTTGACCGCTACGAAAGATTCTCCGAAATCCAACACGAGTCCAAAGCGAACTCCATTTGTCGCGGACGCGGATAAAAAGACGCGAAACTTGGCGACTATGTCTAAAAGGGCCTCCGTACCTCAAAAGGGATCCTCTTTGACTTTCACAAAATCTACTAAACGTTACAGTACACCTCCGGCCTGCTCATCGAATTACCAAAACGATAGTAGATTACCAGAAGCTCCGAAGCCGTTAGAACGTCAAGGAACCTTTACAAAGGATGAACCTGAAGTGGAGAACATTCCAACAGTGCATTCTGCGTCTGCTTCTCCAGTAAAGACGAAGATCGCCAAACCAATTAAAAGCTCTTCGTCAAAGATATATCCGGCGACGGGAAAATCTAAGATCTCTGTGAAAGCGCATCAAGCGTATCAGCCGAAAATGACGGCCAACAGTTCTGAAAAAATACAATCGCCTAAAGGACTATTGGCGCCGAAGAAGATGTCCTCTGGAAAGATAATTACGCCACCGAAAGTCCTTAATGGTAATGCGTCCCAGAACGACAAAACTTTCCGAAAGGTTGATTCTCTCGGACAGCGATCCAATAGCAATTCTAGCATAGCCGCCAATTCATCTATGGGCGTGCAAAATCGTAAACTGGCAAAGGAAGCAACAAGCAAGATTGCAAGTCTCTGGAAGAAGGTCGAGGAGACTAAGAACAAGCAGCGTTTCGAGAAACCAGACACCAGGCAATGGATAAGGCCAGCCAATAGTACTACCGAAGTAGACGCTGCACCCATTACCGCTACGACATTCAGTAAGCCACCGGCGTACAAATTGTTTCGCAGTTCTACGTTTGAGGGAATCTCCCAGGAGGACAATAGCGTCGAAACGTCACCCTACAAATCCAAGTCCAGACCACCAGTCCTAGATACGCAAGTAGGACTTGTTGGCCCCAAGTACAGAAACTCCTGCGACTTGACGGGCATGAATGCCAACGAGGCACCTTGCAAGATCCCGGTGAAATCGTCCGAATCGTACAAGCGCGAGACGACGCAACTGGGCGACAGCGTGGTGACCATGAGAAAGCAACAGAGCGCCGAGTTCGGAACGGAGACGGATCCCACCAAGAGGATATCCAGGCTCGGCTCCTTCATCCGAGTAGATCCGGCAACGGCAGCGGAAAACGGCGTGCGGACACCAGCTTCGGCAATCGTGCCGCCCTTCAACTACAATCCAAAGCCAGACATTCCATCGCAAGCGGCCAAACCTAGGTCGGACGAGGATCAAGGTAAATTCGAGGTGACGGATTGCCACGCGGAGATAGTCACAGGATCCGCCAGGGTGACGACGGTATAGGAGAGTGGGGACGATCCCCCTAAATGAAGCGCATAAGTTCTGTAATAATCGCCTCCTCTCTTCGTTCCAAGCTAGTCATTGTACATTCGCTTGCTTCTATATGTTTGCCCACGTACATTCGTCACATGTGATATGCATTTTATGAGTAGATAATTTTAATCATTTTCTTTTGTCTCGTTGTACGGCGTCGAGACGCGCGTACAGATCCTTCAGCATTTTATGCGGAATAAAAAGAATAGTCATATGATAATACTATCCATGATATATTGTGTATGCATAAGCATCGCGATGCCAATTTCTTCGATACCGGCAAAAACCGTGTGAAATATTAGCGGGAAATCCTAAGACCATTCCTGTGTCCATTTTATCTGTTGTATATATACATGATAATATAGAATAATTCCGAGTTTGAAAGAAAAGAGAACCACAGTCGAAAATCCATAGTGCATAGCGATGATTCTGGATCGGTTATTTATTCAATTTTGTATATATATATCGAAAAAAAAAACGCGAGTGAAGAATGTAGAAAGTTTTAGTAGTACGTGTTTAAATCTGTGTACGATGCGCTGGTGATACATCGCTGTACATCTTCGTATGCGAATGAGAAAAAACGTGTACGCGGGGAAGAAGACCCGGCAATCTGTATTTTGTTTCCATCATACTAACCGATTCTTTCCCTCTCAAACGGATGCAAAGTCTAATTACTTTTTGAAGACTGATAAGTAGGGCAATGAAGATCTGGAATAAGCTCGAGCATCTTCGACCGAAGCTTAATCGTAACGAGGTAGTACCGTTTGTATCGACTGTGTGAACGTAGAGCGGTCTAAAGTAGTTCGCTAAAACTGGGATTATAATAACAAGATAAAAAATTTTATAAGCATTATCTTAAGTTTCTAGTCTACAGGTAATACATTCTATTTTCATCACGTATACTATATCGCGGATATTCGTTTCGTTTCTGAGTGACTTTATTAAATGGACATATTGTTATTTCTTCGAGGATAAATATATGAAAAAGGTGTACAGATCACACACATATCTGTACAACTAGATTATTCATAGGTTTTTGAAATCAAAAAGATACTATACCTTTATTATTTAATATTGTTTTGTCTTTCAATCGGAGACTTTGATATAGACGTGTAAAATATTTTTCTTTTTTTTTTTAATTTTCTTAATTTTCTTTATCGTGTCAATTTTCCTTCTGCGGGAATCGTTGTCGAATTCTTATTGGAAGGAGAGATTATTTGGCATGTGAATCAGAAGTATATATTTAATTTTTAATTAAGAAGTTTTTTCTGTAAAAAGTTTTGCCCTGTTCCAGTTCGAGTTAATTAGATTTAACCCCGCCAACTTGGAATCATATCAGGGTATCTTTGCGTTGTTTCTTAAAACATTTGGTCTGTACACCATGAGATTATTGTAATTTTTTATAACGTTATTTCCATTCTAGGTTTTAAGAACTCTTGTTTTGTGCTTTAAATTCGGCAAATATCTATAGTTTGTAAATTACTTGCAGTACAATAAAATTTATAGCTAAGAATATCCCCTTTTTTATCGTAAACTCTGAAGAGATATGTCATCGATTGTCTGCAACTATTAAAGAATAAACAATGTAGCACAAATAAAAAATATTTATTATCCTTACAATATTACTTATCATATATCGGACATTCATACAAATTAATGGATTTATCTTCAGATACCGATGCGATTACGTTATTTCGTTGTGGATTATATTTTACTGCCCATACCTATACATCCATAAAAAAAATTATCTCTGTATCTGTATTAAAATCTTAAAAAAAATTAACATTAAATATATATTTCGCCTAAAAATTATTTTAGAAAACATACCTGATCTTTATGTTCATGAAATGTATGCAGACACTGTCTTTGTGCTAATTCCCAGATCTTGACTGTATGATCTGAACTGCTTGATGCAAATTGCTGACTGTCTGGTGAAAAAGACACGCCGAGTACCCAAGAAGCATGACCCGACATTGTTCCTGCTAGATTTGCATCCTTACTAAATAAAAATAAATATAAAATATTAATAATGAATTTATTTTAATATATAAATACAATATTTATACATTTTTAATTTTCTTACACGTCATACAACTTCATATGTCCATCATCAGATGCTGTAAGGAGAAGCTGAGAATCTGGCGAGAAACACAAAGACCTAATAGGCATTGCATGACCTGCATAATATAAATTTGATGAGAAAATATTCTATATCTTGATAATAATCTTTATAATATATTGGAATTTTTTGTATCTACCTTCTAATGTACGCAAAACTTTTCCATATGCAACATCAAAAATATTAATAATCCCGTCTATCGCGCCGCTTGCAATATATTTACCATCAGGGCTCTGAAATACAATTCCATGTACAAAAGTTTCACGACATATAATTTACTTAAATGACTTACATAAGCAACACTCAGTGTAAATTTTCCACCTCTTGTATCTAATGTTTGTTCTTGTTTACCACTTTCAGTTCCATATAAATGTATTTTACCAGCATGACTGCCAGAAACGATAAATTTATCGTCCGGAGAAAAGACAACGGTCCAAATATCTACTGGACCAACTTCAATGCTTGATAGTTTGTCTCCAGATTGCAAGTCCCACAATTTTAAACTTGAATCAAGGGAACTAGAAGCACATTCTACAAATTCACAATAACATATAAATTTAAAAATTAATATTTCAAGGGATAATAATTTAATTCATTTACTTGAGCCATCCGAGCTGACAGCTATGGATACTACTCCTAAGGAATGCCCAGTTAACTTATGTTTCATCTTCAAAGCTCCATTTCTCAGCTCCCATACCTTTACTGTGTCATCTACAGAACCTGTTACTAAATATTCTGCAATTTCATCTTCATTGGATCGTATAGAATCTCTGGCAAGTAATATTACAGTTTAAAAAAGCATTCTTTCATTAAACAACAAATTAAGAAAATGCTTTAATTATACCGTGAATCTTCATTATCTGGTTGAACATCCTTCTTCCTCTTTGGACAACCCCATGCACAAGTCCATATACTGTCCTCGTGTGCATTTTCTGTTTTGTGAGTTAAAGAATACTGAAAAAGACGAAAAACAAAGTAGTGAAAAAGGGAAAGAACCGGTGATAAACACAGATGATAAGAGATACAGCTCTTTTCTATTCTCACCATTTTAGGACAAATAAATATTTATTAAAATGGAGCGTATAAACTTCTTCCGGACGCACTTTAATCCATATAATATATATTATGCAAATTTTAGAATATTTACATATAAAATGTTTGTGATATGGTTAAGCAAAAAATGCCTCCAAATCTTTTACTGCCTTCGTATCCATCACCTGATCGCTATACATACGACATCTAGTTGATTTAGTATGAATCGCTAAAGCACACTTGGTCACCGATATACGATAAGTTTTATAGCGAAAAAGTTAAGAGATGTCAAGGGATGTATGTATTTTAATCTTTATAATTAAATCACACGAATCGTAAATAATTGATGTATTATGTATGAAAAAAGTTTTAAAAGACTTAAAAATTTTTATTTATCTCTTTTATTATTTTGAATATTATATCTATAAGTGAAAGATATATATTATGAAGTAGAATAATTAACTTTTTCTTTTTACAGTATTTTAATGAAATACCAAGGTAAGACATGAAATCATTTTTTTCATGAGATGTTTAAGTATCGAGAATTATGTCTTCGAGCGACGAAACAAACCTTACAATTGAAGATCTTAAAGAAAAGAACAATAAAAAAAGTTTACGTAAACAGAAACGTGCTCATCACAGATTACTTAGAGATATGAACATTAAATGCTCCTGTCAACCCACACAGGTAAATATCAATAATCAATCAGTGTTATTTCAATGGAAAGTTTTATTCTCGAGACCATTAAGCTTAATATTTTATTTTACAGTACTTGATGATATGTAATGGTGGTTTAGTTACCGGTATTAAAAGGGAAACATTGCAATGCGTATTAGATGCATTGATTTCCAAGTATACTTTGATAATGCCAACAGGCAAATCATACTGCTTCATAACATGCAATTCAAAGGAAGATGCGACTTGTGTATATAATTATATTCATGGACGTATTAAACTGCCAGGCCAAAATGGTCCATTATATGTATGCTATACTGAAACCGGTATACAATATTATAATAGAAGTATTCTAGAAAGAGGAAGAGTTAAAATAGTTTAATAACATAATGATGTTTTCTTTTAGTTCCTAGCACAGATAATGTTATGTCTAATTCTACATTTCCACCTGGTCTTACATTAATAGAGAATTTTATAACAAAGAAACAAGAAGAAACTTTATTAAGGACACTCAATTGGGATGAATGTGGTAAAATATAGAATACAATTCAAAAATATAGTTAATGAAATATAATTTGAAAAAAAGCACAAAATATATGCTGTTGCAGAATCTGTCACATCACTTCAGTTGAAACATAGACAAGTGAAACATTTTGGATATGAGTTTGAATATGGTACAAATATAGTGAATCCTGACGATCCAATCGCGCCGATTCCACAAGATTATGAATTTCTGCAGACTCTATTCAACAAACACAATCATAAATATAAATATGATCAATTGACTATTAATAAATATCTACCTGGACAAGGTAACAACTCATACTAACATGCCTCAGTTCATAAGTTTTATATACCTATTTTTTAGGAATTTTTAAACAAAGTGAATAAATAATATTTCAATTTTTTCTTTGTTTAAATTCTTCCAATATTGATTATAGTTCTTTAATTCATAATTCACATTACAAATTTAATTTTATATTTTATATAATTATTAAAAAAATTAATTATACGCTAGAATCATTAAATTAAGTAGACTAATAATTCATATCATTAGTGTAACTACTTCATTTAAAAAGACAATAAAAATTTCTTATGATGAGTAATTTTTGTAAATATGCTCAAATTTATAGACTGATTTGAATAATAAGCTATATCATTAAAATTTCTAATTTTACAATTCAAGGTATACCACCACACATTGACACACATAGCGTCTTTGAAGATACAATACTGTCTTTGTCACTGGGTTCTGCGTGTATCATGAACTTCAAGAAGGAAAATCAGAATATCAATGTGTTCTTACCAGCTAGATCTTTGTTGATCATGACAGGAGAGGCAAGATATGCGTGGACACACGGCATCTGTTCCCGTCATAATGATGTAATTGAGACGGAGAACGGAACCACAACGAAGGAACGTGGCATCAGAATTTCTTTCACTTTTAGGAAGGTGCGACGAGGTGATTGTTGCTGCACCTTCAAAGAATACTGTGATAATAAATACGATACCGCTGCTTTCGTTGATGCCAAAACAGCATCAGGACTGGAAGATTCATATGTACATAAGGTACATGTATTACAGCTGAAATTTATGAAAGTATTTCTTTTTATCATTATACTGGAATTGTTTTCTCAGGTTTATGAGGAAATATCTAATCACTTTAATGAGACACGACACAAACAGTGGCCTAATGTATCCAAGTTTCTCGGAAGTTTGGAAGAGGGTACATTATTGTTGGATGTGGGCTGTGGCAATGGCAAATATCTTTGTGGAGATCGAAATATATATAAAGTATTATTATTTAAATTATTTTTAATACTTTATCAATTAGAATACACATACGTATAGATAGCTAAAAGAATGAAATAAAATACGCATTGTAGTTAGCATTATTTCTTATTAAAACAAACTATTAACTTTAAGGATCATTTCAGATGGGATGTGATCGTAGTTCCGGACTGACGGATATATGTCGCAAGCGAGGCTTTGAAGTTCTCCAATGCGACTGTTTATATTTGCCATACAGAGACAATTCCGTGGATGCAGTGATCAGTATCGCAGTGATTCATCATTTGTCTACTCGGGAACGGAGACGACGCGCTATTTCCGAGATGGTTCGAGTATTGAGACCAACAGGAAAATGCTTGATTTATGTGTGGGCGAAAGAGCAGCGCAAGGATTCTACAGATTCGTCCTATCTGAAATACGGCAAAAAAAACAAGGACGAGACCGAAAAGATTGGCCAGAAGGAAATCAGTCGCGAGAGAATTTCTGAATGTGGCTCAACATTACCAGTTCACGAAAACAGAACGAATTTTGCTCACAGTGACATGTTGGTTCCTTGGAAAAAGAAGAGCGGCGAACGTTTCCTGAGATATTATCATGTATTTCAGGAAGGCGAGCTTGCAAAATTATGTACGGAGGTGTCCGCAGCTATAATTAAGGAAGTCTACTATGATCAAGGTAATTGGTGCGTCATTCTGGAGAAATGTATAGACATCATGAAATAAAAATGATAGATTTTTTAACATATTTTAACACGTTTAATTTTTTAAATTTATTTAGTATACATCTCTCTTTCTTATCGTTGAATTTAGTCGCTATCGTCCACTGAAATAAGTAAAAAAATATGATTTACAAATACTTGAATATTTATGAAGTTTTACTATCATTGCATATTTTTTCCTTCATTTTAAAAGTTTTATATAAATTCTTTAAAATCCAGAATCAATCAAGACAAAGAAAAATGAAACAAACTAGAATATTAATAATAATCATATGATATTATATGACATACATTAATAATTTTAATTTAATTTAATTTATATTATTCGAGTTAAAAAAAATTTTAAATAAAAAATCATTCTATATATTTAATCGTATAAACGTTAATCTTTTTGATGTTTAAATCAACTTTTGTTTATCGCGTTTATTGTTGACTCAATAATAGCTTTCATTTTTCTTTTTGAAAAAAATATTGATATATCGTTCATAATACCTAAATCTATAATTATGTGTTTCTTTTCCGGATTCGATAATTCCAGGCATTGATTGTCCGAATCTGAGTCATATGTACTGTTAAAACTTTCTTCTTTATTAATTGAATCCTGCAAAAATATTAAGAAAATTATCATGATTCATAATAATAAATTGGCGATTAAACAAATAAGAAAATAATTAATAGAGAAGCTTTTTTAATATTAAGTTTTCTTTATCATTTTACTTACATCAAAAACAGATATTAATTCAGCAGATCCTTCTTCGTGTTTTATAATGCAACTCTTGTTGTTATTTTCTATTTCCGCATGATCTATTTTTTTTTGTCATTAAATTAAAATAAATATAAATAATACAAATTAAAATAATATACACTCTATACATTATATAATAATACAAATTAAAATAATACACATTCTATACATTATCAACTAATTTTTAAATTAAATTGAGAAGCTTAAAATAAAGATACATTGAAATTAAATATCTAAAATTAATTTAATTTTTAATCATCTTAATTTAATATTAATTTAATGAAAACAATTATATCAATTTATATTTTGTTTTATAATATACAAGTATAAAATCAATTGAATCTTTTTATTTGTAATTTTAATTATATATGAAATAATAAAAAATGTAATTAGATAAAAATATACCTTCTATCATAGTTTCATCCCATTTTTGCAATTTAATACTAATATGATCACTTATCATTGTTGTAATCTTATTCGTTTGAATGCTCTCTTTAAATCGACTTGTATCACTATCATCTTTTTTGTATCTTAAACATAAAATATATTTTTTTAAATATTACAAATCAATTTTAATTAAAAAAAAATTTGCCTTTTTGTCTTTTTATTATTCAATTACAAAATAAGTCATTGGATTAATCTATTGGATCATAATTGTTTGTGATGATTTACTGTTTTACATAAACTTATTTAATATAAATTGTATTTCAAACTACTATCATTATTTAAATTTTATATTTTAAAAAAATATTTTTAAAAAAATTATAAATTTAAGATTATATATATAATATTCATACCGTGATTGTACATCTTTAGCTACCGCCTCTTTAATATCTTGCACTAATTTAGTAGCATAATTTGCCGCGTGATTAGAAACAGCAGATATAACATCTTCAACTGTCATGGTTTTCGTTAAATAATCGAAATGTAAACTGCAGAGTTCTCTGTAAGAGTTCATACCAAGAGTAAGTTCAGCAACACCAACTCTTTCTTCTATGTATGTTGGATCCATTATGGTATTACCACTGAAATTTAGAAAGATGTTGCATTATTCACATGAATATATAAAAAATCTTATCTCTATCTCTCAAAAAAAGGCTAAATACTTTAATGTGATTTTGAATATATTTATAAATACATATTTATAAAAATACATATTTATAAAAATTTAAAGAGTATATAATTTTAGATTGTCTCACTAACTTTTCAAAAGTTATAAAAGATACACAAACTGGATAGTGAAACAATGTTAATGGAAGAAAATCTTTCTCGGATGCTGGATGTATAATAATTTCCTCGCCAGTGGAAGTAACATCTGGCCTGTGAAAATGCATGAGAGCAGCAAGTACCGCTATAGAGGCACAATCGATCAGATTTCCATCATGATTTATGATATTAATATCAATTCTCAAGCTCCACACCTGAATAAAAAAATAAAATATATATATAAAATATAAACATATGCTACACAATATTTAACATCAAATATTTGTATGCAGTAACCTTTTTATCCGCTACAATACAGAGAGATTCCAAGTCTACGCACTTTGAATCTTTGAAACACTTTTCCAACTGTCTACTGATCAATATAGCAGCTTCAGATTGTCTGCCACTTTCAAAATGCTGCGCTGCTAATGGAGCAAGCTCAACATTTATATATATTGTGCCTTCATTAGGACGAAATGTTTTTGGTTGTCGTATGTCACATGACACTTGTGCTATTGCTCTGTAAAGAGATTCTTCATCAATGTTTTAATTACATTTGAAAAGAGAAATGATTTATATATCGACAAATAAAATTTACTTAGTATGTCCAAGAGATACCATGCAACATCCCCATTTAGAACCAAAATAAATCTTTACTGGACGCGGCTGTAATAATCTTCTGCCATCTAATCTCTGTGAGATAATGTTTTAAAATATAATTTTTATATCTAATTTTGTAAAAATTATAATAAAACTTATATATATATATATTTTTTTTTTTAATTAAAACTATTCAGCAAATTCAAAATAAAAGAAGTATACATATACCGTTTCCTCTTCTATACATTTGTTTACAAAATTTCGTTCGCAATTTGTGAGCGGGACTTCCCTCATTTTCTCAAATATATTATTCAATAATAGATTAAAATTTTTACAATGTTACATAGAAACAATTTATTATTCGATTTGTTTATGATAACCTATAATCACATAATGTGGTTCAAACTTGGCAGGTTTCGGCAGGTCTTGGGTCTTGGCATATATGGATCTGTTCTTTTCAGCTGCACTGCTAGTGCACTAGTGCATAAGTTAGAAAGAGACAAACATGCTTTCTTTCACTCTATAGACCGCAGCACACACTTTTGCATAAGCGCGTAATCATAGGCATAAGGAAATTGATTGATCCCCAAGTATATGCATAAGAAAATGAACCAATCAATTTTCTTATGGTATGCGCTTAAGGTGCAATTTCATTGACGCTAAAAAGTAGCGTCAACCATTGGTTAAACTCGGATTAACTGGATCGTGGAACTGGGCCTAAGACTCAAGAAATTGACCAATCACAGTCAAGTATTAAGAGAATACTCGACTGTGATTGGTCAATTTTTTGAGTCTTACGCCTTACAACCTTATGTTACGGCCATTGTAGAATGGCCTTTACTATTATGTCGCCGGGTCTACAATAGATAATTTAAGCCCTAAACCTTAAGAAATTGTCCAATCACAGTCGAGTATTCTCTTCATACTTGACTGTGATTGGTCAATTTCTTAAGGCTTAGGGCTTAAATTACCTATTGTAGATCGGGACTTATGGAAAGTGTGTGCTTTGGCTATAGCCTTTACACGTGAAATGAAACGCACTCATTGGCTGCGTTCAACAGGAAAAGCTGCTTTGCAACTGTGTAAAATTCGTGAATCTGATTGGTGTATACTCTTAGATTCAGCCAAAATTAAGAGCATACACCAATCAGGCTCACGAATTTTACAACAATTGTAAAGCAGCTTTTTCTGCTGAACTCAGCCAATATAGGTTGTGTTCCGATATTTACTGCCAGTACTGAAAATCTATAGTTTACGTTACATATATTATAGATTTTCAGAACTGACAGTTTATATCAGAACGCAGCCATAATCTAGTTTATAATCGTCTATTACATATATAGCAATTTTGTAGTATGTAATTCAAAGAGGAAGTATTGTATTTATCGCGGAAAAAGGAAACAGCCAATAAGAAACGGCCGATGACCCTTTTCCGGAGAATATTCAGAGAACTGACTCGCAAGTATCGTGCCAATAAAACAGAAGTCGTCAAAAGACGAGGCTCATCGGTGACAGCTCGCGCAAAGGTTAGGTCCCACATTTTGAGGTTAGAAATGGCTGCAACGCGCGGCCGAGAAGTAATACACGATCTAATCTTAGATTGAGCTTTCGCAACTGCAGTCCTCGTTGTAGTAACGCGATATACATATATAAATATATATATATCTATATAATTCAATAAATAATAAGGTGTAAAGAGACGAAGAAACATGTACAAATTTAAACCATTCGTGTTCATGGAGCACGCGGCGAACGGGCCGGAACGTCCGAAGGCGCGTAGCGGTCACCGAATCGCATGCGATTATCGAAATCTGTATTCTTATGGCGGCTTCAATCCGTGCATCTCCGATACCGACCCGGACATGCGCGACGATCAGACGTGGGTAGCCAGCAAGCCGCTATTCAAGGAGCTATGGCGCTTCAACCTGGTGAGCGAGCGGTGGAAGCGACTGCCCGGCCAGGAAAACATGCCGAACGAGTTGGCATCGAACGCGGTGATATTAAGCGGCAATGCGTTGATGGTGTACGGCGGCACCGGCGTGCCCTTCGGCGAGAGTTGCAGCAATCAGCTGTACGTCTGCAATGTAAACGATGGCACGATGAAGATAGTACCGGCCACAGGCGAGCTGCCTGAGCCCCAGTACGGACAGGTAATTCATCGAAAGAGAACAGAGATCAAATTAATTGGAGTCTGTACTGATTGTAAATATATATAAATAGTTTTATAACTGATTAGTTAATGCGCCGACTCAACTTGAAACTCTTTGTTTTCAGGGTAGAATTAGAAATTAAAATATGAATGTAAAATTTAATATAAATATTAAATTAGAATTTAATTTATTCATCATCTATTATATTTCTATGCATTTTTTATTTATTTATTGTTATATATTTCTATGAACAGGCCCTCGTATATCATGGTTCCTATCTCTATACAGTCGGTGGTACTACTGGTTACGAATATACCTGTGACATTCATCGGTTTGACCTGAAAAATGGTATCTGGGAAACAGTGTATGTTTGCTCTGGAAGGGATGAATCAGAGCCACATGGAAGATATAGACATGAGCTCGCCTTTGATGGCAAGATGATTTATGTCTTGGGTGGTGGTACCTCGACAGAATCCTTTGGCTTTTCTGTGAGTGAACCAATATATTAATGGCTTTTCTGTGAGTGAACCAATATATTAATATTTCATTTAGAAGACACATACTGTCTCAAGTGTACTAACTACTCTTTTTATATAATATTTATTTATTAATATGTTATATGTTAAAAAATATGATATGTATTGTCATTATTTGGTTTTTTGTGCAGCAAGAATTATTTTCTACATAACACAAATTTAGTATTTCTTTGTAATATAATTTTTCTATATGTTGATGATATTTTATACATAATGTATATCAAATTGAATATAAGTGAAAATATAATAATTTATATTTTATATCATATAATTAAAAATATATTCACACGTAATAAAATATTTTAGAAAATACCGGCATTTGACTTGGAGACCAACAGATGGAGGATATTGAATACGCACGGTGATAGTGATGAGACTGTTGCCACACTGCCGCGAGTACCGGCACCGCGACGCTGTCACGGTTCCGTTCAATATACGGACGAAAGAACTGGTACCACTTCAGTTGTCATATCGGGCGGCTATAATGGTGACTGGGTATTTTCTGATGTTTGGCGGCTCAATCTCAGCACGCTGCAATGGACACATTTAAAAGAATGCAGCTTACCGTGTCCAGTGTACTTTCATTCGGCTGCGCTGATTCCGGAGGGTCGCATGTACATATTTGGCGGTATAGTGAAAGTGAACAACAAGGTTATTATTGTTTCCCAGATAAAGAGATATTTAGGTGTTAAATATGTATATTTTTGCTTGAGAAAGTATATAATAATTTTATCATTGCAGGTGCAAAGAACAAATGCGGTTTATTCCGCTTGGCTTACAATTCCCAAACTATCCGAGATTTGCTGGCAAGCATTAAATTATTATTATCCGAAATTGAGGGACTGTTCGCCGGATATATTACTTCATATTGGTATACCCTTGAAATTCGTACAAAGATTCGATTTTTACGACTGGTGAACGCTATCAGTTATTCTAACGCTTTTCGAATCTTTGGATCATTTTTCTCAAATCTTTCTCTATGCACTTTACAACGGTAATTACGCTTCGATCATTTTTATTCGATATTTATTGATATATCTGGCTTATTTACTACGCTTTTTTTACAATTCTATCTTTTTACGATCTGTCATGTAATGGCACAAAGATATGAATAATTTTATAATTCTATTATTATTTGTGGTATAATAATGTGCTAAAAACACCACAAGATAATAGATTTTTTCTCTTTCTCAAAAATCTACAAATTCTATATATATATTCGGCAATATTAAATTATCGGATATGCTATTTTCGTGAGATTAATTCGTGATATTATTTTTGTCTAAAAGGTACAAATAATTATAATTAAAAATTAATATATTAATATGTAAAGAGTTATATAGACAAGAAGAGAAATAGCTTATTATTAGCATATTTATTATTACATTGTACAATATAATCATTCTGCCTTTGCTAAAGTAGAAATATCGATATATATATATATATATATATATATATATATATATATATATATATTTTATTTATTTATTTCAAAATCTTTATTATTAAACTCGTGCAACCTAAGCAACGAGATATTTCTCGATATCTAAATATAACAAACGTGAATATCGAAAAATACTATTAACTGCATATTATCTTATACACTTATCTAGTGAAATGAATTCATATTTCATATTTGTCTCCGCAGTGCCTATTAATGAAGGGCGATGCTCTAAATTGTTCGAATCAAAAACTTCTTTAGAGGTCTTAAATATGATAATATATGCAGTCAATTTTTATTATTCGTTTCTTTCATACATATTTTTACATTACGAGTTACTTTTCATGATATACTGCTTGAAATAATGAAGAAATTACTTTTTAAAATGTCGATATATTTTAGAGGAAGTATGTTTAAAAATTTTCTTCCTCAATATTATCCTTATTTTTAATTAGCATGTAGTTATATATGAAAATTATTTATATTGAAAATTTTATATTGAATTATTTTATATTGAAAATTTTATATGAAAATTAAGTTATATATAAAAATGTATACATTTTAATTTTCTATTATTGGCGCTTAATATATACAAAAAATCATTAACAAAATTTTTCTAATTCTTTTAATTTTGGATACTTTTACGATGCTTTTAAGTTGCAAATGTTTTTTTATTTAAGTGGATACTTCTATTTTTTTATTACTCTTTTTTTTCTTTAAATAAATGTTATTTGATTATCATCTCTCTTAAAATATTGTCTCACATGAGTTTAAATCTTTGTTACTTAAAGAGTTGATATGAATCTATGTGAACTAAATAAGTCTCTAATTATTTTGAGCAGTGTAACATGCATCACAAATTTTCGGTGCTGTTTACTTAAGACTTAATATTAGCTGTACATTAGCTGTAAATTGAAATTAATATAGAAATTGTAAATAATAAATAAGAAAAAAGAATATAGAAAAATCGAATCTTTCGATTTAGGCGATTTTTATACTATAAAGAAAATATTTCCTGAATATTTTAATTAAAACATCATCGACATGACATATTAAAAAGCGCATAAATGACAATAAGGAAAATAATTATGAGAAAAAAGTAAACGATTTATTTGTTAGTTTTTAAACGAGTGTTTTCGTTTAAGTCAAAATCTTTTTTATTCCTTTTTTCTTTTCAATTTTGATAAAGAAACCAGAATTATTTAATTATATTTGCAGCGATTCGAAAAAGACAGTAAATATTGATACTATTTAAAAATCATAATGCATTAATACAATATTTTAACATTGTCATATGTTGCCCGAATGACTTCCCGATACATTATTTATCGAATGATTTTAGTAAACCACAAAAAAATAAAAGAGATGTTTTACGTATCTTTTAGATTTATTTCGCACTTTTATCTTGTTCGAGAAAAGAGGATAAAATAAGACTTAAAAGAGGATAAAATAAACTTAATGAAGCGTGCTATCTATACCAAGGACGTTATTTTTATTGCGGTTGCGCGAACAAGAATGATAAAAAGAACCGCGCATTTCTTCCATTAAGATATTTTCGACTAAGTTTCTTGTGATTTCCGGAAGAAATTTGTATGTGTGTGTGAAACGCACAATATTTCAACAAATTTATCTTTCCTTATCTTTCCTTATCATGAATACGGAAAAGTAACCGATATATCATAGAGTGCGAAGACAAGAAAACTTTAATTTTTTTCTTCAAAAAATATTCTAATATATGCTACAATATCTTTCTAATAAATAATTAAAAAATCGATAAAAGCATTTACAGTGAATAAAAATTTTTTGCCTTTTTTTACCGATGTAAGTTATATATAGGCAAAAATTTTTTATTTTTATGATTTAATATATACATGATTATGCAATCAATATTTTTATTAATAATTTTTTTATCAACATTTTTATTATTTTATTTACATTATTTTCACCCGCGATTTCTAGAATATTCGTATATCACGATTGTTAATTAAGGAAGCCAAAATAATTTTTTATCGCTTGATTTATTACATAATTTTGTTATATATATTTATCTTTCAATCTTAGATTTAATTCACATGCGTCATACACTTATGAGGATTCCCAATTACGTGCATCGTTTCACATTCAATATATATACGTTCGATAGAAAAATTTATTTTATATGTACAAAATATCGTTAAGCAGTGTCCTTAAAAGACACGAATACTCCTATTAAATTTAATTTTGGGTCGAAAAATATATATTTAATCATGGCAATAAATATAGGAAGACAGGCTTGAATTTGGCGCGAACGTCATTGTTGCAAAATCGCCACTTCCGGTTCCGAACGCGCGTGACTTCGCGCGGTCCATAATCGTGACCAGCTGCGCAGCTCACTTCAGAGCCCTGCGAGCAACGGAGCGAGGCGGACGCGTGCGTTTGTTGTGTCAAATCGCATGAGGAGACTAATCGGTATTACGTGTCCGTTCGACGGACCCCTATAAAAGAAGGAGCGCATTCTGAGCGAGCATTAGTTACTCGCCGAGTAACTTTCCCGCAAGACACCCCTCACCGTCCTCCTCGTCGACGTCGTCGTCGTCGTCATAGTTTCCATGCATCGTTCAAGCACGCGGCCAAGCACGCGCCGACTCGGGATGCACCAGGTATTTATGTAGTACCGACTACCGCCGCCTTAGAGTATCGCTCGCACACCCACGTCTCGCCGGGAGATCAAGAGCATCCTCGAGGAAGCACGAACATCGTCGTCGTCGTCGGCATCGTCGTCGTCGTCGTCGCGAAAAGGAAAAGAAGGAGGAAACGATTCGGTCGAAACGGAAGTAGGACCGTCGTGGCGACGATGGATCAGAAACGCGTGTACAAGATTGTACTGACCGGAGGTACGTAATAGAGATTACAATATCGTATTTCGCGTGTATCGCACTTCTTTGATTTGAGATAGATTTAAGTGTGTATAATTCGTCAAGTCCATTTTAGGGGTTTACATTTGCGAAAGCGAGTGTACATATAAGGGTAAATATACAATATAGGAGGTTTTTCCCTTCCTGACATTGATTTTTTTTTTAACACACGTATTTCATGTATTTAAAAGGTTCTCTTATTTTGAATTTTCTGAATATATTTCTTTTCTTAGATTTGAAAACTAAATTTGTTCTCTCTCTCTCAATTTTTCTTCTAAATAATTTTATATTTTTTCGAATAATAAATTTTAAAAAAATATCAGCGATGGGAACTATTGCATATTTATCTTTGCACAGCTTATTTTTAATTACACTTATATTTCAGATATTTTTCATTGCTCTTTTTTGTGCAATTAATTAATCTCTCTTTCTGCATTTATTTTTTTAGAAATTCCTGTGATCATCATACAATAATTTTTTATATACATCGTGTCTTGTCTTGAATCAAGTGTTCGGTTAAATAAAGTAAAAAAAATTATAAAGTAAAGGCACTTCACGCATCGGTTTATATATTTCAATCTTTCAGAAACACATGGAACAATATTAGAGATATATCAGCATGAAGAATATTAATATTATTCGCGTAAAAACTATTTAATTCGCGTTTTTATTCCTACAATAATTACAGCGGTTTTAATTGTTTCGATTCATCAAGTTAAAATGAAAAAAATCGAAATAGGAATCGAAATGAAGAAAATCGAAAGAAATTTTACATTAAAGTATCAGGTGTTTTATATTAAAGTATCAGCACATTCTTCATTTAAAGATTTATTTTTAAAATTTTTTTGTTCTCTCTCTCTCTCTCTCTCCCCCCCCCCCCTCTCCCTCTCTGTGTCTGGTTGCTAAATTTTCTATCTATTTTTCGTTCTCAAACTTATCTTACATTGTAAGACCAGCCAACTCGACTTTTTTAAAGACTCGCTGCGAAGAAGAAATTCGCAATTCGAGCGATTATCATAGTCATTTATCTTTCTGATATTCTAATACTTACTCGTGACAAACACGACACGGAAATAGAAAGAGACACACGCGAATATTTTATTTACACGAAATTTTGATATATATCTCGACCGGCGTGGACGAGAGCGCACGTGGCACACTCGGGTTCCTCGAGACACGATGATCGCTCGTAACTCAATCTAAAAATGTAAAAGAGAGAGAGAGAGAGAGAGAGGGAGAAGCATGTTTTGGTCAAATTATGTACGAGAGACCTTCGTGCAAAAAAAACTGCGAATATTCCGTTTTCCGCGATCGCGACCAGCTTGTCTCTTGCGATTCCCTCGTATTTTGCGACGTTCGTTATCATAGCCACGCAGATGTGGATCGATTCCATACGCTACACAGACTATATATACCGGGTGATTCAAGAGAAGAGATAAGTGTCTCGTACAGATGGACTTTAATTATAAATTTTTATTCACTGTATCATCCGCAGTATTTATTTATTAGGTTGTTTGTATTTTATTTACGTTTTATATTGCATCGTTGCATATGAAATTTTTTTAATTCTGAAAGTTCGAAAGATGAAGTTTATCAGCGCTCTATCTTTATTACTTAATTGTAACGAGCTCTGAAGAGAGCACTAAACTTCCCAGACATGTCTGACAATGAGTCTGAGGTCTTATTTTTCTTGTCTTACGATAAACCTCGATAAATTCTCTTATATCTGCTTTGTCGAAAACCTGTTAAAAATTGCAAGGAAAAACGATATTGATGGCTGTCAGAATAGTTATCGTAAATAATGCCTTATTTTTTAACCACAATTTATCAGCAACTTTACGTAACGAGGAAATGACAAAAGAAAGAATGGAAATAATTAACTATAACGACACTTTGCGTCTTCCGTGAAATTTCAAAGTGTAAACTCATTAACGTATCCTCTTTCCACTTCGCCGTAAAGTTAATTTTCAATTACAATCGCGAGGATGATACCACCGTAATGTTCGAGAAATAAAGAAAAGTTTATTGTTCTCTCGATTAAACTTCATTTATTTAAGTATATCAAATGTTGCTCGAGAAAACGAAAATAAATCTTACAAGAGCATTATTATTCTCAATTATACATTATTATATAATATATAATTATATATTTTTATATTTATTTTTCTCAAAAGTAATTTAACTGCTATCACTTGGGACAGATAATTTTGCAGTTTTAATGAAAAAAAAAAAAATAGAGAAAACGGAAGAAATTTTGTGTAATTTAGAGTATTTTTTTATAGTGTTTTTTGACACATGATTGTTTTTATTGGCTACTTTCCGAGAATTTAGGATAAGGTCAGAATTTTTCGGCTAATATAATAGCAGTCGTGATTTATTTTGAGACTCATGGTGGGTTTATTTAATTCGTCATCGCATCCTCGTGAACATCATGCGTCACGTCGCGTCGGGTTAATAGCCATGTCGGCGCAAACCAATTGCATTCAATTTGCCTTTTATTGGCCGTCTGCCTTTTCGTACGGTCGTCGTTTATCTTACGTAACGAGAAAGCAGCAAAGAGGGACAGCATATCAAAGAGCAATATAATAAAATGGAAGTTTCATAAGCAACGATTCGATAGACGGATTTTCCGATTCCTTTTTATTTACGAAATGAAAAGGTAGAGCAGATTGTCTAACGCACTGTGTTCGTGATTACAGGACCATGCGGTGGCAAGACAACCGGGCAGACCAGACTGTGCACCTTCTTCGAGAACATGGGCTGGAAGGTAGGTAGAGATCCTTCGAATTTTAACTTCGCGAAAGATTTCCACGAAAAAAGAGAAAAAAAGAGGGGAATTTTGTTCTCCTTTCCCCTTCTTCCCCCCTGATTGATTTGCTTTTCTCTCCGAGCGAAAAACTCGCTCGATTTCGCTCGTATTTACTTTGGAATATTCGACAAATATCGCCGTATAATGGTACCCGAATCTATATAAGATCGTTCTTTATTGATGGTACCGAGAGGAGGATGATTTTATCAATTCTGTATAGAGTATACTATACATACTTATACACAGAAATCGTTCGATTATCGCGTGCTGTATGATAATTCGAGTCAAGGATAGTATATTACAGCGTATACTTTTTCTGTAGCTAGAGATTCTCTACTTCGTCGCACACGACAAGTCAATATAATCGGACGTAAAGGGTGATTTTAAAATAACAGACCATCAACCTTCTTCTTTCGACCGATTTAACGTCGAGATTCCTCCCTAGAGAAAAAAAAATATCGAGATAGTTATATAAGTTTTAACTTTTCAATATAAAAGTTCCTTGGCATTTTATTAAACTGAATAAAAAAAAATTCCAAGAGAGAGGAAAGTGAAAACGCGATTTAGTTTCGGGGGGCTCTTACGCTTCGTTGTGGATTCGATAGACCGGTGGTTGTCTTCTTTTTCAGGTGTTCCGTGTCCCCGAGACAGCGACCGTGCTGCTCAGGTATGCAATTACACGATAACAAATTTACCAAAAAATAAAAGGAAATAAAAAAAGAAAGAGAGAAGCCAGAACGAGAGTCACGCATGGACGATTACGGTTTTCTTTCGTATTAACCTTGGAATGCACCCTCAAATAAAGATTCGTAAGAAATAAAGCAATCGAGAAAAGTAATTTTGGCAAATTGAAATTGAATATTACAGAAAAATATGTCAAAATAATAAACGATCTTAAATTAATTTGTAAATTGCAGGGAATACTATAAATGTGAAAAAATATACGAGATGTCACGGAATCTTGTAGATTCAATTTCATGCATTTCACGGTTAAAAGAATTTTTTCGAGATTGAAATAAAGCCGTTCGCGTCTCGCATTCTCGTTCAATTTGCCGAGTATCGATTGTATCGCGAAGAAAAATTCGCGAAACACACGCTGCCAAAGAATAAACCTTTGTTAAGCGAGCATACAAATTTGCATTATGTTGCACAAGTTACGCAATAAGTTTGATAAATTGCTTCAAAGTTTCTAGAGCACTTTTTAAAAGTCTATTTCACTGATATCGAAAACAATCGAAGGCAAAATAGTGCGGTGATATAGCAATAGTGACAGAGATACTGGAGATGATTTAAAATAATTCGCAATAAAAGCTCCTCAAAGGCTACAGCAAAGTTACAGCTGCGAGTCGTGATTTATATTCTTAACGTCATTGCATTACTTCGATTAAACTCAATTAAATAAACGCATATCACAGTTGTATACAATTGTCTCATATTTGCTGTCTGCTTTTTTCCATTTCAGCGGCGGCATCAAGTTTACAGACCTGAACGCGGAAGAGGGTAAGTCTGCAGATTATACCCCTTTTATATCTCCCGTCATCCCTTCCTACACTTCAGCGAAGCTCCCGACTTTTAACAGTACAGGTTCGTCTCTTCAGTTATCGAGGTATCATTAATCTTTTTGCAATTTCTCGTCATTCTTAAAATTATTTAATGCGGATTAATAATCGTTGAATATATTAAAAATAATGTCCCGTTTAATAAGGGCGAAAATTAATGATGCGCGCCTGTAAGCATTGTTTTCTTTCTCTCGAAGCAGGATAATTAGTATAATTAAGAATAAATTTAAATTACTTTTATTAATTTGATGCGACAATCAGGCAATACATTCAGCCGATAGAAATTAACGGATCAATAATTTAATTTCTGCTTCTCTATCGATTACAATTTTTCCCAAGAGGCGAGAAGGTGTTGGAGAAATACGAAGCTGACCTCGAAAAGCGCGTGTAAATATTACCCCGGTAGAAAGACGGATTGCGTCAACTGTTGCAATCGCTATGTGAAGAGAATAAGCGTCCAACGCGGGTGGAAAAATCCCAGATAGACGGAGAACGAAAAAAAGCCTCTTAGCATTTTGCTATGATGACAATCAAAGGACAAAAAAGAATGTCCGCTCAACCATTTATATCGCGTATAAATCGCATCGAATTCCGAATAAGACATCAGTCTCGGTCAGGGAACGCCCTTGTGAAATATAAATGTCTCGTTGCATCGAGAACGACTATAATATATCACGAAGGATCGCCCGCAAATTGCTCTCTTTCTCTCTCTCGCACTCTCCACAATAACACCCAATTGCATAACGTCAAAATTCTTGGCTTACGCTGAGCTTGGCCTGTCGTGTTTCTTGATCGCCTGCGAGGGACTTTGCTCTCGATTGTCAAACTTCATTATTATTAATGTCTCGTACAAGATCTCACAATCTCTACACAGCACTTTAATAATGTAATTTAGAATATATGAAGCAAAAAATCTTAATACGCAAGTATCTGGATTACGATAATTTTTCAGTTATAAAATGATGAAAGTTTGCAATAATATTGCGTAAAACTCGCATCCAAACTTGTTTTAATAATTGTATATGCATGTACCAATCGTCTCTGTTATTGATTTTTAAAATCGAAATTGATTACCACAATAATATATTTCTCTACGTAATTAAAACAAAAATATACCTTTTTTTTTAAATGTGTGAAAATATCATTTATAATTCCAGTGTAATATTATCTATTTAAAAATAATTTAATCCATTTAACTTGTTATTTAAGAAAAAATATAATTATTTTGTGTATATGTATAACTTGGTAATATTAGATGACCGTCATAATACATGCACATAACATTCATGCATACAAGAAATGATAAAATCAGCTGAACAATAAAAATCAATATTACCTACTTTGTAAAAATCAATGACAAATGACAGATACACGTGTAAGTGTATAGTTATGATTTGTCTACGCAATATTGTTGGCAAACTTTGATCATTCATAACTCAAAAACTATTGCAACCTTGATATTTTTGTATTAAAATTTTTAACTTTATCTTTAAAAAAACACTATTAAAGTATTGCACGGAAATTGAGCCTCTATATTATTTTAATAAAACCTTCTATTTTTTCATTAATCGTCAATGATTTTTCAATCCCTGCAGATGCGATTGTGCCGATTCTGCTTCCAATCTTCTGCGGCATCATTTCCTCTTTGAATAATTGAACTCTTGCACAAAACCATATTCGATGAAATTATATTTCAAGCATTTCTTTTTTTTTTAATTCTTATATATTATTATATTTTATTGATTCTGAAAATTGATTCTGAATTATTATATTTTATTCTAAATTATTAATTCTGATTATTATATTTTATTCTGAAATTCTCAATTTGTTCCATTTTCTCTTTCATTGTCATTGAGATTAAGAGAGTTTTATATAAAAAGATAAAAAATATGTATTATGCTGCACAGGTGATATTGTTGTTCGAAATGCATTCGCGCTTTTGTTCACCCTTACGTAAGACGATCGCGCTACTTTAATCAGCTCGCCCTTGAATGGATATGAATATCAGGCTTCCTCGGTTATGTTTATGCATACATTTATCATCATTTTCGTCACTAGACGTTTCGAATATCTCAATCTTTCTATTACATAATCTTTATAAGAAGAATGCAGATTTTGCATAAGAATTATCTTACAAACGGATATGCATAATGTGGAATGATATCTTTGATTATTATCAGTAAATTTGTGGAAACGTGTATAATTAATTAAATTCATAAGATTATTATTCTACGCTTTTATGTATTTATGTGCTACATTTTAAAATTTGAATTCTAGCGATAAAAAGAATTAACACTTTTGAAAAGATTTGATTTTTCGCAGATTATAGAATTGAAAGAATTGACATTTACGATTATCATTAAGCTAAAAGACTAACCAAGTTAAATTTATCGATTTATTAATGTCTTCATCTTGCCTCTTGGATTTGTCATCCTTTTTTGCAGAGACACCTGTTAACAAAAAAAGATGATACACGTATTTGTAGGATAATGTGATTCGCACATTTTTCCTCGACGATATTAGATCCTCCAGATTAAAGACTGTTTTAAGATATATTAAAAGAAACAGAAAACAATCCGAATAACAAGTTCTGACATCGCAGAGATACGAAGTTTAAATTTAGATCTTTGTAATAAAGTTTCAATTCCTCTGAGTTCTTATATTTCTTAAAGAAAAAGTATGACATCTTTTACGCGATTTGATCAAGAATAATTTGAGCGAAATAATTTGACATTTTTCTAACTCGGGAATATTTTTCGGGTCTGGATGATGTGATCCAAATCAAAATCAATTATTCAAAATCGATTCATTCTAGCCGAGAATTCGTTTCTTTCATTTATGAAATCTTCGCGTTTAGATCATAGGAGTGAGGCCTACAGAGGCGAGGCGAGATGGCCGGAGATTTTGGAAGTCGATTCCGGTGTGGGTGAGTCTGAGTAGTCGCTCTGGAGTCGATTCGAGACACGATGAGACATGAGAATAAGTTACAAAGAAATTCGATTATTAAAATAAAATTGATATTTATCTAAAAACTGAAATAGAATTAATACATTTACATTTTTCGATCAATCTCTGGTTATTGATGATTAAGGTTTTGCAGCTATGTAAGATTAATTTCTTGATCTTTTGTAAAATTAAATTTTTAATTTGCTTTTTATTCTCTTTTTAATTTATTGATTTTCGTCAATCATTAGTATTTCAATGTACTATCTTCATATCATCCAGTAGTATAAAAATCTAATCTTATCTTTTACAATTAATTCTCATATCTGCCCGTTATTGAGTTTCTTGTAGTTATTGTCCTATCGTGCAGAAGAGTAATATTGTACTTTTTATATTGTTTATTTCTTGTATCTTTTTATTATTACATTTCGTTGTGTCTTGAAACGCAAAACACTCTAAAACTCGCCGACGAGAGACGAATCCTCGCGTACTTCTCTAATCCTAAAATTGGATTTACAGCATTTAATCCTAAAATATCCTAAAATAGGATTTATAACTTGATTCAGTCAAATATGGGATAGTGTACTATTCAGAAAATCTTGCTCTGACTTTTTTGAGATCGCTGACAAGATCACAAAATAAAAAACTAAGGACATATGTTAAATAGAAGTTAAAAATTGATGCAAAATCGCTCTTGTTTCTTCATGCCATTCGAGCGAACGAGGATTGTCCGCCCGTCTCGCTAGGATATCGCTTGAAGAGGACTATGAATAACACAAAGTCCAAATAATGTCTTTTAGAAATCTGTAAAATATACGGGAAAAAGTTGTTTAGTATACTTGTAATGCCAAATGTATTATATTAGAGAAATTTATCGAGCTAGGTATTTGTAGATTTTTTTTTTCATATTTTCAGTCCCTCTTTTCCTCTAAACGACATGATTATATTCAAGTTAGCGCTTTAAAGATCGCCAAAATCCACGCATACAAATTGTCCTTCTTATATAAATAAAGACTCTTTCAAATAAATGTAAAAATCTATTGTATTTTTTTCACGTGTGTGTTACAGGATTCAAATTTCAGGAGAACCTCCTGCGCACGATGTTACAAATAGAGAACACGTTTTTTCAATTAGGTGAAAGCTGCTCGAGAAATTGTTTGATCATCTGTGATCGTGGCGCAATGGACGCCTCCGCTTGTGAGTACACTTTTAAAAACAATTTGATTAATTTTTATTCCTTTTTTTTTTTATTGTTGAAAAAAGATGGATGAAAAGAAATGTCTTTCAGTTATTTCGAAGGATAAATGGGAACTCATGATGGCTTCCAACGGATGGAACAACGTCGAGCTAAGAGACAACAGGTAATATTAGAGATACACAAGGAAAGTTTGAAAAATCCATATCCAATCTTTGTCTCGGAGAAAATCGATAATTGGAAAATTTATCTCTCTGTTTCACGCTTGCATAGCTTTCAATGATACTGTGCTATATTAAATCGTCTATATAGAATGCTCGCGTATTATATTTCATCGTTAATATTATTAGTAGAGTATATATGTATATGCTATTAAAGTATTCACGTATTTTCTCTCGCATCAATCAGATACAATCAAATCATTCACATGGTTTCGGCGGCGAATGGTGCTGAAGACTTCTATTCCACGGAGGATCACGCGTGTCGCTCGGAGGGTGTCGAGCTCGCTCGCGAACTCGACTATAAAGCCGCAGCCGCCTGGGTCGGCCATCCGTATTTCGACGTGATCGACAACTCACAGGATTTCGAGGCGAAAATCTGTCGAATGATCGAGTGCGTATGCCAGAAACTCGGAATCGATACCGGTGATCGGTTGCGCTCCAGCAGTCGCAAGGTTAAATTCCTCGTGAAAGCACCACTACCGGCAGACACCGAGTTTCCACCCTTCCAGGACTTTGATGTCGTGCATAATTACCTGCAAAGCAAAAGCCCTAAAATGCAGGCGCGTTTACGCAAGCGTGGTCAAAAAGGTGAAGCAACTGACGGAAAAGCTTTTGTTTCTTTTCTATAAATGTTTAATCATTTTAAATTTTAATTATTGGATATTATTTATTCCAATTACTTGAAAACTAATTATCCTATGTGAATTATTATCGGAAAATTCCTAAATTTCCTCCGTTCAATTAATGACAATAATGTTGTATTGATCGCCACTCTATATCGAATGAAGATTCAAGCAGCATTTTAATGTTTTAAGGTCATTGGTCATATATTCACACAATTCGTCGGCCAAAGATGTGTGGTCAAGTGATTGAGGTAAAAACCCAATTGACCCATCGAGATTATCTAAACATGTTGGCCCAGCGCGATGATTCGCACTTCACCATCTTTAAGCGCCGTCGCTGCTTTCTGATTAACAATCAGTATTTTCAGTTAGATATATATAGAGAACCGGCACATCCCAGGTAAGATCACAATATTAATGTACAAGGTAATTAAATATCACAATATAAAACATTTTTATTATTTTCGATGACAAAATCAGTTTTAAATTTATTAAAGAACAGATAGATGAAAAGTGACTCGATAAATCTAAGATATCTTGAACGTCAGCATATTTATGGTCTTGATAGTGATAACATTTACATGCAAATAGTATAGAATGTCTATAAGTTTTTACATTACATAATTAGTTTATAATTGAGATTATTTATGATTAAAGCAGATTTTTTATTTTCTGAGGTCATTCACTATAATCTCTTATACATATTCATAGAAAATGAAAGAAAAATATATATTATTTTAAATTGTGTGTGCATATTATGCAGATGTCGAGGCTTGATGTTACTGGAAACATATACAGCGTTGTCGGGCAATGAACTAAAAAACATCTTGCCTCAGTTCCTGACAATTGTGAAAGAAGTCACCAATAACCCAGATTACAGCATGTTCAATCTTAGCTTGCGCGAAGAATGGAACAGCACTAATAAATATTGCCACAACATGCACGGTACTAGTTATTTAAATATAATTAAATCTCTTTCTCTCTGTATTTTTTACGTTATATATGCTTATTTTTTTGCGGATTTATATCCGACATAGTCATTGATTCGTATATACAGGTTTAACACTTGGAAAAATAATTTGATTTTTTCAATTATTTAAAATTCATGTATTTCAATTGTTTTAATTAATAGCAATTAATCAAAACTAATAATGATACCACTGTATCTGAACAGCACTTAACATTTTATCTTGCAGGCACGATGCAATTGCCGGATAATCAAAATATCAATTTCTCGAAAAACCTAAAGGAAATACAAAGCAATGGATTCGATTGTAAAGCGAGCCAAAGCAATGGGCTCGATTGCAAAGTGAGCGGCACATTGAATTCTAATTTAAACACTCAACAAGCAATCTGCAACAAGAGTATCAATGGCATACAAAATGGTCTGGTAAACGGTAAGGCATTCGTCGAACGATGTAGTATAAACGGAGATGATCGAAAACAAGAAGTTTGTAATGGCAGTCCAGCTATGAAGCTAAATGAGAGTTTACGAAAATTAAAAATTGAACCGCGGGAAAAAGAATTCGAGAATAGATTTTAATGGTGGGACACTTGCGAAAAATTAGGACGCAAGGAAATTATTTAACATGCCACTTGCGAATAATTCCAAACTGTAGCGCGGATCTTATCAGTATCGGCGCTAATTAACAATGTTGATTAAATAGCAACTATTAGTCTCTGATAGAACCTCTGAAATTTCACATAGATAACATGTCTATTTTTTAATTGGGCTTGTGTGTCGTACTTAAGGAATCCTTGTGTGAAAGTTCTACGGCTAGTTTTGTCAACGTCGAAATGAATCAGAATCCGATGCACTCCACTAATCTTTCGAAAATATGGCAAAGTTTTTGCACGAATTTCAGAGAAGATCAGTACTTAAAATATATACATCTATAAACTTAAAGATTTTTACTTAAAAGATTTTTAAATAATAGATTTTTCACTTTAACATTTTTTTACGATTTAAAAAAAATCCCTCCAAACAAATTCCAGATTAAAAAAATTGAAGAGAAATCATAAATGGTTGAAGATATATATATACATATATGTGTATCGAAAAATAAGTTTCACTGTTTAACTCATTACTCGCCTTTTTTTAAATTTAATTCTAAAGGGAGGTGAAGAATAAGTTAAACGAGAATTAAACGACGTTGGTGAAACGAGGCCTTTGCAAATTTTCTATAGAGTTCCATTGAACGAGCCAATGTCCATTGACGCACTGAATATTTGTACTTCACTTTACTTTACACTAGTTTACTCTACTCTATTTTATATACATACCTCAAGTATTGTCTATCAACTTTCTCGAAAATTCGAGCGAGCGATTGTGATAGAGACATGCACGTATTGTATCACGGCGTTCGAATATGTAAAAAAGAAATCGATATATTTCGGACAACGATTCTCTATCGTGTCCTAAGGAATGTTTGGAGAATTTTCTTGAGACTCGCAAAATTTATTGAAAATCTAAGAAATGTTAAATGTATTATCCCTTTAACTTTTACTTAATGTCACGTCGAAAATGATATGTCAAAAGATGTTTCAAATTATATTCTGGTAATATTGTGTAGCATTTTGTAATACGCGGTCACATAGCAAAAATTCAAAATATTCTTTACTGGGGCAATCAAATTCAAGTCTACTGATTGGCAGACGATCCATAAGATATATAGTAATGCGATGTACAGAAAGCTTACAGAAATTTCAATATGAGTTATCAGATTTTTTAGAAAGAAAATTCAAAATTATTAAAATATTGTGCAAAATTTTTTTAAGAGATACGTATTACAATAATTTTGGCGCAAATTGCTCACAGAAATATGTAACAATTTAATCATATATATAATATGGTAATTTTATGTGACAATTCTCTTCATTCTCTAATTAAAAGTGAGAAATTCTGAATCTCTAAATAAAAATTTACACGATATATTTTTAATTTGAGCAAAAAGTTGAAACCGATATAATTTTATAGTAATGCTATATTCATATCGCTCTCAAAAAGTTCCTACAAATATTATATATTTTGTATATTTATTTTGTAAAGTATTTTTTTTGGAAATTGATTTTTTTTCGGAATTTCAATTATTATAGGAGGAATTTACCTTTAAGAATTAAAAGAGAAAAAGAGAGACGGTTGTATCCTAAATATTTCCGAACTCTCGCGCTTTTTCTTTTTCTATGAAACAAACCAAAGTGTTAAAATATTATTTTTTGTAAATTTTCCCTCAATTTTCCTCGTAATATTGATAAATTCCTTTTTGCAATTTTACATTCGTGACTTTATATGATTCGCTTGCATCTTTTTGCCTGTGAAAGAATTCAGATATTGAAAGATTCTATAATCTGATAACTTGTCGAAACAAAAAAAAAGATGGCATAGAAAGACTCGTTATTGCGGCGAACTCTTAATGATCGAATGTATCAGTACTTAATAGGTGCTTACCCGTAGAAATAATTATGTTAATTGTATATAAAGTGGCGCAATCATTTTCGTCAAATCTACTATTTCTGTGATTAATTGTAATATGTGTTGTCGATGTAATTGTGAGATCTCGCATTATATAAAAATAAGAGGTTTGCAAAACGAACGCGAACTGAGATAAAGATAAAAATGATTGTGCGAGATCTGTATTTGCTCGTGACCTTGAAAGCCTCGATAATGAATTCTGCGATGACGCTTACTTTCATACGTATCGCTCTCGCATTTTCCATATACGCAAAATTAATCATTCGCAAATTTTGCCACTGTTTAGAGACGAAGTGCCTGTGAAACATTCATTCACGGAAATAAAGAAAAGAAGAGAAAGAAAAAATATATGTATGTATGTATACATATATATGAAAATATATATATGTACAAACGCGAAAGTCTATATTTTCAATCAAGAGAATGCAATAGTGAATTATTATCAACGCGCACTCAGTTTCACGTAGATGGGTCCGAAAAAAAGCAGAACATTGTACCCATAAGCGTCTAATAAAAAAAATGTCACGTGCCTATTGTGTCTCGTGTCTCATTACCATACACTAAATCTGTTCACCAAAGATTCTTTTTTTAAAAGTCACAATTTTATTCTTAAATTATTTTATAATCTAAAAATTATTTTTATTCAACATATATTTCTTTAAAATTTCACTTATTATTAAACAACCAATTAAAAACAAATTTTTTTATACAAGTAAATTCATTAGGCTTCTTTATATTATAATAATATATATTATATAATAATAATATATAAAAGTAATCTTATATATATATATATATATATATATATATATATATATATATATATAATTTATTGGCTATATATTATTCTTTCTCAAAATCTTTAAATATTTTAAATTTACTTTTTAAGAACCTTCTTTTGATGTTTTTTTTTTTTGTATACATTTCTATTACATATATTCTACTAATATATTGGGTATCGAAGAAAGCATAAATTAAACGGCAATATTTCATCACAGCTGAATTATTTATTAGCAACTTTTTAGAAATCCTCGGATTTTCCGAGGAGCCTCTTTTCAGTCGCGTTACATAGATAAATTTTTGGTTTTCCACTGATCCTTCTGATTTTAACTTTCCAATATAATTGGTTTCCTTTCTTTAACAGATAATTATTGTGTTATTAAAACTCTATTTAATCTCATTAAAATTCGATAAAATTGACTAAACTTTTAATTTGTTATATGATGTTTCACTATTTTCACTCTTTTTATCATAATCAAATAATTCTTTTCAAGAGATTAGTGTATTAGTACATTTTAATCATTTTTTTAATCATTTTTATATTTAGAAACTACTGTAATTAACTGATCGAATTTATTTCATTTGATTGTAAGGAAATGCCAAACATTTTTACTTTTTGAAAAAGAATACAATCGAGCAATTGCGTTTGATTTAATTGTAAATTTACACAAGCGCATGCATGGAAGCGCGTCATATATAAGATATTTCTTTATATATAAATCTTTATTTCAAAATCGTTGAATGGAATTTACGAATGATATTACAATGCATTCCATGTATTGAATTTACTGTAACATGTTATTTGGTTTTCTTGCGAGCAAATAATTCTAACTAATCTATCTAAGTAAATAATGAACTAATTATAAATACACAGGAAAACATGGAATATCGAGAAGACATTTTGCGATAGTCATGTCACGAGAGACAAATCGTACGCTTTGTACATGGAATAGTCTTTTGCAGTTTTATATAAGATAACAAAAATTTCTCGTTCCTATCCACATCGCAGATAGGATTGTGTTGGAAGCATAAATCGGGATTTCTTATATCTCTATATCGCTTCTGTTCATTTAATTAATGCTAGTCTAAATCTTGTGCGAGATTTTGTTAGTCTCATTGTTAGACATTAATGGCCTCTATGTTGATAAAAGATGGAAATTCGATTCTCGAACGAATATACGAAAACGAATAAAAAATTCGCAATTTTTATCTTGCAATTTTTTTCACCGTTTCATCTTTTAAACTTCCCCTTTCGATTTGTGTTCTCGTAAAACATGTTCACATAGAACGTGTAATGGGTTAGCCAGAAGACAGATTTTCATTTTTATCGCTACATCGAATGAGCGTTATTCATCTAGTTTTGGTTTGTTGTTGTTGCTGCGCTTTGTACAGCTTAAAGACTTTTTTACTTGGAAGCAACAATTGGCTCAAACCAGGTCTCTTCTTGCGTTTTCTGTTCGCAGTCTGATTGTTCTCCTGATCCACTTCGTTCTCCTCGTCATTCGCGGTCAGTGATGTCTGCTGTTGCTGTCCATTGTATCGGGTCTGACAGACCAGTGTCTCCTGCGGAGTCCGCAGAGCCTCCAATTCGGCCGCGCTGCGATGAAGATCAGAGTCGTGGGCGAAGGTACAGTTATGCCCGAATCGACAACGGCCCTTTCGATAATTCCAACAGATCTTACGACCGTTTATCATCTTGGTGTCGTCCAACGTGGGCGTCATCTTGACATGCTTCTCCAGGATCGCGCTCTTCGCCCGCTCCGCCTCGACGAACGGATTCGAGAACACTGAGGTCTTCAACAATGTGGATGCGCTATTGAAATCTGGCGTGGGCAATGGAAGTTTTTCTCTGGAAGCTGTTGTTTCATTTATTCTCACGTGTCCGTTCTCGTCATTATGCGAGTTGCTGTTCTCATCATTATCCTCTTCTTCTTCTTCATCCTCCTCTGACTCTGCCTTGTCTCCATCCTTAAAGCTAACGGTGAGGCAATATCAGATTACAAAGAACAAGTCACATTCTGTATGTACATAGGGTTGCTAAATTTGAATGAATGTTTAGCATGATTTTTTTCTTCAATGTTTATATTACAACAATGGTTAATTCTCATTATATTGTAAGATGGATATTTCATATGAAGTACATAAATTTGCAAATGTAAAATGGATAAAGAATGAGATGAGTAAGCAACCTTCAAATGAAATAAAAATAGACTCAAGCATTGAAAGAAAACAAAATAAAACAACGGGAAATCAAAAAGAAACCAAAAAGAGCAAAAAGACATGGACTTTCTAAATTGAATGAAACAAGTAAATCTTTTAGATCCACTTTCATATATAATTAAAAATAATTATATATAATTATAATAATTATATGCAATTAAAAAAAAACTAAATAGATACTTTTTACTTATAATAATTTAAAGGAAGCGAGAAAAGAAAGAAAGAAATAGAACGCATGTGAAACATTTTCTCTTACGAAAAAATTATAAATAATACAAGGACTTATGAAATGTAATACATTTGATATAATCTGATGTAAGCAAACCTTGATATATCCAGTTCTATAGATGCAAGAGAAGAACATCATGAAAGCGAAGAAACATAATATATAATTTGAAGCAATAATATCAACTGTAACAACAATCCATTAACTAATACATGGCCCTTATAGAATTTGAATTGAAATTATATCCAATCTTACTCTCAATTTATAAGTGTACGCCTCATTGATGTTTCTCCTCAAGTTCAATGTTACCTTTACTAGAGTATACAAAGTACTTTGCACTGTCATCGTGCATTTAACCTTATGGTGGCATGACCTATTAAATCCGATATCTTTCATCTTAAAACTGGATTTCCGTCATTACAATTTCCCTGTTGGGTAAGAATATTGACAAGTTTCATGCCTTCTATAGAAGATTAGAGAGGTTAAGTTGGGTGATGGAGAAGCGTTAAAAAAAGGATAAAAGCTGAATCGGACAGCAGCTCACAGCGATCCAAACTTACGCATCATCCGAAACGTCACCGTTCGTCTCGCTGTCCGAGCCGGAGGAGGTCCCGTAATCCGCGACCAAGGAAGCCATAATAACGTCTCAGTCGATTCCTACAAACTAAACGACCTAATCGTGGAACAACTAAAAACAATTAATCTAATCATCACGCGAGATCAAACGTCAAACGCGCGACTCCGACTGGGCCAACAAACTCTCGTAGAATAAAAAAAATATTTTCATCAGCGCTGAGAGTGGCGCCATCTGATGTAATTTACCTGTCGCGGAAGTACACTAAAAGTCAGTATGGCGTTCGTAGAGTTATTGGGAGCTTTCCAATAAAAAACACGCGTAAACGCGATGTCAGGTGATTAGCTGTCAAGTAGAAAAATGTTCGAATTTAGAAAAGTATTTAGAATTCAGAAAGTAGAAAAATTAAAAAATTTGAAAAGCTGTCATCGAAGATGAAGATTACGCGAGTCGACCAATCGGGGGACTTTTTCGTCCCGATTGGTGAAAATTCGAAGAAGCGTCGCGCTTACTGGACCCGACGTCTCCACTATTCCTCCCGCAGAGGGCGACACGGGCGATCGCGGCGTTTCCAAAACCAGCAGGGACATTCCTCTCATCGTCCTCCTTTCATCCGCGGACCCGTTCGGCGCAGACGTCCTCCGATATAGCGCGAGTGTGATTATTTTCTATCTACCCGATCTTCCCCTGTATCGTTGAGCGCGACGAGTGCGTGAGACGCAGTCGTAAACAATGGCAGATCAGCAAGAGAACAAGGACTTCAGTGAAGACATAGCGGAGCAAAGTTTCGAGAAGAACGGCGAAGCCGAGAGCGGCGGTACCGGTGGCGGCGGTACTGGAGACGCCGTGGAGAATGGCCAGGACTCGCAGGAGGACAGGTAAGATCTCTCTCGTTGCTCGCGCCGAGATTCCCGTCGCGGACGATGCTCGCGACCGGATCCGACCCTCCCCCCGCGATCCCGGCGACCCGTCGTGCCCGCGTTACGTCTCGCTCGCTGACGTTTTCCCGCGAAATCGCTCCGGCGTCCCCTCCCGGGCCGCGCGACACGAGTGGCCGTCGTACAAAATGGCCGAGGGCCGAATCGAGAAAATCCCGAGACGGGTAATCCGTTCGCATCCGTCCTGCTCCGGATGCCGATCGCTTTCCCGCGCGATCGCCTCGCGTCCCGCGATCGCGATGCGCTCGACGCTGCGTTTCTTTTTTGTCCCCGCGAATGGGCGGAGTTTGCTTCGCTATTATTGTTCGTGGCGTACGAGATGAAGTTTTTTTCTTCTTTTTTTTTTCTACTACGCCGTTCTCTTTGAGAAGGAATTCGCTCACGCGTCATCTTCCTTCCCCGCTTGCGTTCTATTTCTTTTTATTTCCTTTTTTTTCGCGCGAATATGACGTTTCTCGCTTCTTGTCAAGCGCCGAAAGCGCATCCCGACAAATTTGCAAAATTTTTGCAACTTCGCGTTTTGCTATATATCGCCACCCGATATATTTATGAATCAGAGATAACTTATATATATACTATACACGAGAAATGAAATGTGAATTCTATCGAATAATTTACTGCATTTTTGATACAATTGCCCTTGCACAGTAAATATATTTTATCCGAAATATATTTTACATATTGTTTGTTTTTTTCACGAGTAAAATAAGGTAAATATAATTACGTACTTATTATATATATATTATGCTGCAATTGTAATTACACATATGCTACAATTAGGAGGTATGTGTCCATCTGTTTCAAGCTTTCTAACTTTTTTGTAAATTTCTTTCTGTTCTTACTCAGCCAATTAACTCTCTTCTAGTTCTATAATTAACGGAAGGCAGAGACAATTTCAGCATTGATAAAGTTTGTATGTATATGTAGATCTACTTATATATGTATTCTTTAAAAATAACATTTTTGTGTGTATTTGTATTTCTTTTTCTTTTTTTTCTTAATAGAGAATATAATTTTAAAATCCACACGTTTGATCAGTTACGAGTCATCTGTCCTTATTCACAGTAACAGTTTACAGTCAAATTCAGATTAGTCAATTGCTCAAAACGATTGACAAATACATCCAATGCTTGTCTGGGATCTCTCAATTGAGCTGCGAAGCTTGATGAAATGAACTTTGGGGTCGGAATTATTGTGAGCGATCGAGCATCGAATTCTCAAGTCCATCATGTTCCGTCACAACACAAAAGTGCTGGAGTCAAGTCGAGTCAAACGTTACTTGAGATCAAATATGTGTCGCAGTAGCACATACTTACCTGCTGGATATAATACAGAGTAGAGTAATTTCCGCTGAATTGTGATATTTGGATTATTTGGGCATGAAAAAAAATGCGCAGAGACACTAGGGCCAATGCAAACATCTCCGATAGAAGCTCCGGAACGCCATTAACGCAGTTTCTGTGACTTGGTCTGCAGGTGGCAAACGTCCCAGTGCGATTATGGTGGACTGCTTGCAACCGGCTAACTGTGACCTGACCTGACAACAGATACCGGCGAGTGACTGGTACCCATGGTATTTATCATCAACCTAGATGATATACGAAAATGATATATATTTATAAATATATATATCGATATAAATACGTATATAAATACAGACTTAACACCGCCGGAAAAAAAGTTAAAACAAATAATAGAGAAACAGCAAAGTGTGTACATATTGCAGCTTGTTATTTGAATATAAAAATAATAATACCAAAAATGTCCTAAGACTCGAGATAATTAATAATGAATCGTAAAATAATGTAAAATAAGCCCTCTCGATGAATATAAACTGTAAGATAGAAAAATTTATATATGTATGCATACGAGTGTTTGACGCCTAATAATGTTGTTTAAAATGAAGTTAAATAAAAAAAAAATTGAGCGAGGGAGATAACAGAGCAAAATCGTACAGTGACCAATGTTAATATCGTAATGTAAAAATTAATTTTTAGCTTTCCAATATTATAGAGTTGCAGTCAATCTACCACGTGCCACTTATACTAATTTTGGGCCAATATTAATAATCGGGATTATTTTTTTTTTGTGTGTGTAACTTAGAGAAGTTATTTGTATTTTCTTTAGGGGCAGCCGTATATATCAACTACTGGAGTTTAGCTTATTTGGATCATCGTTTTATAACAGTACTTTGCTCTCTTTGATGCGTTTTTTTTTTCTACTCTCACATACACACAGATTTATAATATTATTACACACACACTTATATATATATATATATATATATTATGCATATTTTTCTAAAACTTTTTCTTTTAATGTTTTTCACAAATCTTGTTTTTTTATGATGTTTAAATCGAGTTACCTGTGTGATTGCGTAATGCCGCCGTCTCTCCATAACTTCAATTTCACTACGCTATCGCGTAGTAACTGCGTATGTAAATTGTATAATAATATATACATATTTAACTTTATCAGAGTTCATTTGTTCTAGGGATATGGTATATATCTTGTAACTCTTTTTATCTTTTGCTGTCGGAATAACAATCTTGTTTAGTCTCACGCAAGGAACGTGTTTATTTTTCCAAATCTTTATGTAGGCCAACACCTACATTGCATGTTGCTGCAATTGGAATTCCTATTTCCTGCAATCGAAAAAAAAAAAGATGAATGATTATCGTGCTTGCGTCAATATCAAAATTTTTTGCAGTGTCTTTTCCAGATAGCATCATGGATCGTCAATTGCGCTCTGTTAAATCATAGTACAATTCTAATTTGCATAGGAATAGAATTAAAACTAGTAAATTTTGAGAAGTTATTAACTTAATGTAACATTCATAAAAAGATCTGTTTTTTTCTTTGGTAAAATAAATTAGTTCCATTGCTTTGCAGGTTGACCGGAAGTAATCAGGACTCTATGATTGATATAGAGGCACATTCAATTTTTATCCTTCTCTTTCTTTTTTATTTTAATATTATGTGCCTATACAAAAATTCAATTGAGATAATAATATACTCGTAACAATTATAGCACCGTAAAAGCGGTTGAAAAGTTAGGGCGGCAAGCGTATTATTCTCCATTACATTTATTTATAAATTTCGTTTCTGTTTATTGTTTACAGAAAATTATTTGTTGGTGGCTTAAGCTGGGAGACTACTGACAGTGAGTATTCTCATTCTTGATCAATGATTACGTTTCTTTTGCAAATCTAGATATTTTTATTTGCAATTTGTTTCGGGATTTTTCAGAGGAATTAAGAGAACACTTTAGCACATACGGCGACATTGAGAGTATTAATGTTAAAACAGATCCCAACACGGGGAGATCGAGAGGTTTTGCATTCATTGTCTTCGCCAAGGCTGAAGCTCTCGATAAGGTAATTTTTCTCTTTTCCAATAATAACAGTAAATATAATCCAGTAATAAAATAAAAGGTTTTTTTTTCAATGTTAAAAAAAAATCAAGATGCATACAAATAATCCTAACGGTTTCTTGCAGATTATGTCAGCCGGTGATCATGTCATTAACAACAAAAAAGTCGACCCCAAAAAAGCAAAAGCTAGACACGGGAAGATCTTCGTCGGTGGTCTTTCGACGGAGCTCTCCGACGATGATATTAAGAACTTCTTTTCACAATTTGGAAATGTAAATATTTTGCGATTTGGAAATAAGCAGACTAAAGCACAAAATAAAATTGACTATCACGCACTTTTCAAATTCTTTTACAGATTGTCGAAGTGGAAATGCCATTCGACAAGACAAAGAACCAAAGGAAAGGTTTCTGCTTTATTACTTTTGAATCTGAGCAGGTGGTCAATGAGCTGCTCAAAACACCCAAACAAACCATCAATGGAAAAGCGGTGAGTTTTTATACGGAATATAAAAATAGTTTAATCTTTTATTATAAAATTGAATTTCTTAGCAATTAAAAATTTCTCATTAATCTTGAATTTTTCTTATCGAAGGTGGACGTGAAGAAAGCGACACCCAAATTGGATGGCATGGGCGGAATGCGCGGCGGAATGATGGGCCGAGGTAGAGGTGCTCGTGGTGGCCGTGGTCGCGGTTTTGGAGGTCAAGGTGGCTGGGGACAGGGTTACGGAGGTGGCTACGGCGGCGGGTATGGTCAAGGTGGCTACGGCGGTGGGTACGATGGTTACGGAGGATACGATTACTACGGCAGCGGTTACGGTGGTTACGGAAGTTACGATTACAGCGGATATGGTGGTGATTATCCTTTGTTTGTTTGTTTTGTTACATAAATCGCGCAAATCGCAAATTTCGAATTTAATGTCCCAGGGTGAGGTGATACTTTCTGTCATAAAATCAGTCCTGGCGATCTTTGGATCTTTGTATTACGTTTTTCTTAAACTAAAAAATTTCATCGAAGAGTCGAAATTTCTCCTTTATAATCGCGATGGTGTACATACACTTTTTTTAAAATTCTTTACCGTATTAAAATCTCGGTGGTACGCGGCGGATACTGATTCCATTTGTACCATGTGTTTCATGAAACGCAGATGGCTATGGCTATGGCGGTGGTAATTACGATGGTGGCTACGCGGGCGGGCGCGGTGGTGTACGCGGTAAAGGTACGCATTACAGCGTTCCTTGATACATACTTTATTACCCATCATTTTTAGTATTTTGCTCTCTTTCTCTCTCTTTCTGTCTTTTATATTCAGTTTGATGCTTTGCCACCGCTAGAATATTTTATCCATCTTTACAATTCTTTTGCTATGGGAGCAACTTAACCCCGACTTCCAATCGCGGATATAAATTGGCTAAATAATAACTGACGTAAATTTTGATTAATATCAGAAACTGTAGAAACATAATGCTTGTAAAAAACATATACATTTAATTTTCCATGCTTTTGCCATCTTTGCTTACATGAATTGTCATATGTTGCTTATCCATTATTATAATAACAAGAGAAAGAAAATTTATAATCCCAGAGAGATGCGCATCGAAATGAAGGGTATGAATCCGAATAGTGTGCAGTTTAACCTGTAGCCTCTTTGTTCTTACATTTATTATCTGTAGTATTTTCTCCCGTAGTATACCTGATTGTTGTTAGTAGTATAGTGTATCTCTGTCGAGGCGTGCGCGCGCGTGTATGTTTTATATCGAATAAAAATCTGTTTTATCTGTTTATATTATGTTCTAATGTTGTGTGCGCGCGCGCTCGTGTATGTAAATTATAAATGTATATAAATCTAATTTTATATATAAACTTGAATCTTAAATACTAAATTCTAAGACTAATGATACAATATCGGCATTGTTTCAGGTGGCTCAGGCTACGGCGGCAAGCAGAGAGGAGGTGGTGGTCGCCAAAATCAGAGGCACCAACCATATTAACAAAAATCCTCATTCGCGACCACAGTGCAATTCGCGTTGTAATTGCTGGTGAGTTGCCGCGCTCTTAGAACTTTGTATTCCCGCACTCTTAGAATTAGAGCGGCAATTCTCTTTTTCACTCTCAATGTCGCTTTGTTTACATTTGTGTATCGATGTCTATTATTTCCATTTTTATATATAAAAGCATGAATTAATTTAAATCAATGTTTTGTGGATTTCTTTGTCAATCCAACTTCACGACGTTCGATTAATATATATACATTTTGTAATATAACTTGTAAAAAATTATAAATACACATACAGACACACAAAAATGTATGGTCTACTTCGTCTCTTTCACAGGTACTCTTCCTCATTCTACTACCGATCTCTTCATTCGTCCAATTATCATTCCATTAAGCCGCGCTCCTCCTAGCAAGAATTCAACAATTTTTCGACAATGTGGACAACTGCTGCTAACCGAAAATCAATCACCGAAATCTACGATGGAAATAGCAGTAGCAATTTAATTTTGTATTTAACTCCAATTTATTATTCCGCGTCTCTATATGCTTTCCTTTCTGCCGTTTGTAGTACGAGCTTGTGTCGTTTTTCTCCTTTTTAATAATACGTTCGCGGTAGAAAAGCAAGCATATAAAACTATATTAATAGATTTTTTGAATGTAATACCGAATAAAACGAGATGAAGTATCTAACAGTATAACAATCTTACAAAAAGTAATATTGCCGTACAATAGATATATAAAATGAAATAAGAATTAGTTGTATAAAATATACAATGTAAGCACGACAACGTGCCTCTTCTCGAAAGAATATGTGCGTCATTGAGGAGAATTACGTATTTAAAGTGATTTCCACATTATATGATCCATCTTCCTTGAATTTGATACAAATAGTTTAATTGAAAAGGAGCCTTTAATTAACACCTCTTTAAAGAGAGTTAAAAATTAATTTCATTCTTAAACTATATTACGATCGTTGTGATAAGTTTTCCAACAAGAAAACAGACGCAATTTGCAATCGAATATGAATGAGAATTTTTCAAATGCTCAAATTTTTTTTTTTAATTAATCGTATGGCATTGTGTTCATTACATATTTTTGCTAGCAAGTTTTCTATTTTTAATTCTTTTAAGAAAACACTTTCAAGAGGCTTCAGAAACTCGCTATCAGCTGATAATTCGATATCACGGATTCCGATAAATCTCTTCATTTTGTAAAGCTACAATTGATTGCGGTCAAGAAACTATGATGATGCTTTCAAGCGTTTGATCAACCAATCAGGATAAAAGGTATAAAGATTTTCTTTAACCTGATTGGTCAATCAAACGTTTCAAAGCGTATCCTCAGCGTCTCCTTGACCGTAGCCTTTGACAGTTCTCCGAGATTGCGTTCGAAAATCGATCGTCAGGTAGAGCAGCTTTTAATTGACCAATCAGAACGAAGAAATCCTCGGAGAATTTCAAGCTCCACGAGAAGGTTGGCAGTCGTGTTCCCAATTGGAGCTAGTCGAATAGCGCGAAGCGAGTCGTACGGACCGGATGGACGCAGTAAAATAAAGTATATAATTCACATACACGAGCGGTGCGGTAGTTTGCGAGTGATGATGGCCGCCTGGAGCGAGTGAACCGATCGCGCGTCGTCGTCGTATCTCGTCGTCCAGCAAGGACGACCACCGTTTCGTTTCCCTGTGATATGCCAATAGTTAGCGCCCGCAGCCACGCGAATGAACATTCCGGGGTCCTAGAGTCGACGGACGCTACGCAACGAACAGCGCACCCTTGTCGTCGTCGTCGAGACGCAGTCATTGAAGGTACGTTGCCGTCCCTTCCGACTCGCATGTCCTACGTCGAGATCGCGATAGCTGGCGGTCCAGCGAGTGAGGAACCTTCCGCGCGTCATCGGCGGGGTGGACGGGTGTTCTCATCGTCTCGAAAACAAACGGCGTCGTCGTCCCCTCGGAACCGCGCCAATTAGATGTTGGCCTTTTCCCGCCATATTTTTCAAAGCTCCCTCCAACGTGGACGGTTGCACCTTCGGTAATGGTTTTCGTCTCGCGAGCGAGCATTTCTCGAGATCTTTATCTTTCAATCCGAGTTGAATTGCGAATATATAAACTTACAGTTAGACAGAGTGACCATTAACATTTTACTTGACCTTGATCGCAACGTTCGCGAGCATTTCTGTCTCCGAAAAGAAAAACTTACAGAGTTAGATACAGTATCCTTTAAAATTGTACTTGACGATCGCAACGTTTCGCGAACCTTTTCTGTTGTCGTTTAACTTTTGATCAACAGCAAAGACAATATGATCTCACGAGCATTGCAATTGTGAAGAACTAGCTTAAAGTTTGATCGTCTTTGATTCTCTTATTTAACGGTTTTGCAAAAAAATAGTTCTAATTATAAAGATATTTTTCGAGATATATTTTTTTGTTTTAGTTTTTTTCCTTCTAGAATTTATTTATTGTAACTTTCTACATTATAATTTATATTTGCTATTGACTTTTAGATATCTGAAGATACAGTGCATAGTCAAGATGAGTACAGCTTTGGAAAATGGGGCTGGTGACGGCAAACCGTCTACCAAACAGAAGACTATTGAGGGTATTTATCAAAAGAAATCACAACTGGAACATATTTTATTACGTCCGGATACGTATATTGGATCTGTGGAACCAGTAACAGAAATGATGTGGGTCTTTGACAAGGAGAAAGATATGATGATTCAGAAGGACATTAAGTATGTTCCTGGATTGTACAAAATTTTTGATGAGATTCTAGTAAATGCTGCTGATAATAAGCAACGCGATCCAAAAATGGACATGATCAAGATTGATATTGATTCGTAAGTTATATTAAATATTGCATTGTCTTTCAAGATAATTTCAATATAAATTGCATAATTAAAATAAATATTATTATGTTGTTGTGTAGTGAAAATAACACTATTTCTGTGTGGAACAATGGAAAAGGTATTCCTGTAGTAATACACAAAGAGGAAAACATGTATGTACCCACTATGATATTTGGTCATCTTTTGACATCATCAAATTATGATGATGAAGAGGAAAAGGTGACTGGTGGTAGAAATGGCTATGGAGCCAAATTATGTAATATTTTTAGTCATCGTTTTACTGTTGAAACAGCCACAAAAGAATACAAAAAATGTTTGAAGCAAGTGAGTATGATTAATTGATATTTCAATCTCTATCTATCTCTTGCTGTCAGTAAATTAAAATTTTTAATTAGTACAAATTTGTAAAAGGTTGAGAACCTCAGGCACTGAAACAAAGGTGCAAATTATGTTATTATACTATTACAAAGTGTACATTAAATGAAATAAATATATATTGATCTCGAAAATAAGTTGTATAGTGAAATCAAATACAAACGTTTCAATATGCTCTGAATCCTTTTCAAGAATAATATAATGATTCACTAGAAACATAAGAAATACAATAATAATGTCCAGAAAAAAAGTTGTTTTTGTATTTGATATAGATCGGATCGAAATGTTTAAAATATGATTAATTTCAGTATATATGTAACTTTTTTTCAATCAATATATATTTATTCGATCAATATATGTTTCCATTTAATGTATACTTTGTAATATAAATTGTGCCTTTGCTTCAGCATCTGTGGTTTTTTAGTCTTTTACAAATTTGTACTGATTATTTATCATTATAATTATATTAATTGTTTTTTAATTTAAAATTTTTATTTCATTGATATAGACATGGGGCGATAATATGGGAAAAGCTAGCGAACCTAGGATTAAGGAATATCATGGAGATGATTTCACCAAGGTCACATTTTCTCCAGACTTGTCAAAGTTTAAAATGCAATCACTTGACAACGATATTGTAGGTTTGATGTCTCGAAGAGCATATGATGTAGCTGCATCCTCAAAGGGCGTCAAAGTTTATTTAAATGGAAGTCGTATTCCAGTAAAGAATTTTAAGGATTATGTTGATTTTTACATTAAAGGAAAAGAAGACGATGTTGGTAATCCTTTGAAAATTGTATATGAGAATTGTGGTCCACGTTGGGAAGTAGCACTCACTTTATCTGACAAAGGATTTCAGCAAATGTCATTTGTAAATAGTATCGCGACAACGAAGGTAAAAGACTAACTGTATATCATAATTTTTTATAAAATGTAAAATTATTTCAACTACTTATACAACATCATTAAATATTGATAGGGTGGCAGACACGTCGATCATGTGACTGAATTAATAGTCAAACAATTGATTGAAACATTAAAGAAGAAAAATAAGGCTGGTGTAGCTATTAAACCATTTCAAATTAAGAATCACTTGTGGATTTTTGTCAACTGTCTCATTAATAATCCTACATTTGATTCGCAAACTAAAGAGAACATGACTTTACAAGCGAAAAGTTTCGGCTCCAAATGCGTGCTCACCGATAAGTTTATCGCTTCGGTAAATGCAAACATTTGATATTTTAGTTATTATTTCGATAGATAATTTTTCGCATCTTATATACACATTCTTAATACCATCTTATATACCATTTCTCACAATTCTTATGTCATTGCAGATCACGAAAATTGGTGTCGTGGAGGCAGTGCTATCCTGGGCGAAGTTTAAAGCCGATAGCCAGCTCGAGAAATTGGGTCCTAAGTCAAAACAAAGAAAACTTCATGGTATACCAAAGTTGGAAGATGCCAATGATGCAGGAACTGCAAAATCATTGGAATGTACACTCATATTAACCGAGGGAGACTCAGCTAAAACAATGGCTGTGTCCGGTATTGCTTCTATAGGCAGAGATAAATATGGCATATTTCCATTGAGAGGTGAATTTGTCTTCCTGAAAAAATTTAAGTAAATTTTAATGTTATAATACTAATTGATATTTTGATTATAGGCAAAATGCTAAACGTAAGGGAAGCTACTCACAAACAAATCTTAGAGAATGCTGAAATCAATAATTTGATCAAAATTCTTGGTCTTCAGTACAAAAAGAAATACGAAACTCGAGATGATTTAAAAACATTGCGCTATGGAAAGATGATGATTATGACTGATCAAGATCAGGTTAAATCTTTTATACAAGACGTGCCGATTTAATACATATTTAATATATATATTTACAATTAAATTTTCACTATTTTAGGATGGTTCACATATCAAAGGTCTTTTAATTAATTTTATCCACCACAACTGGCCGTCCTTGTTGAAGCTGAATTTTATTGAAGAGTTCATTACGCCTATCGTGAAGGCTACTAAGGGTAGCCAAACTCTATCTTTCTTCTCGTTGCCAGAATTCGAAGCGTGGAAAAAAGAGACAGAAAATTTTCACACGTATAAGATCAAATACTACAAAGGTTTTTACTCAAAAATTTGAAATTCTCATTTCATTAATTATTACAGAATTGGCATCTAACAACTTTTTTTTGAACTTATATAGGTTTGGGTACTTCCACCGCCAAAGAAGCGAAGGAGTACTTTGAAAATATGGCCAGACACAGAATACGCTTTCGATATGAGGGCGACAGAGATGATCAAAACATCATCATGGCTTTCAGTAAGAAGTGTGTCGATCAACGTAAGGATTGGCTGATGAACCATATGAATGAGACGAAGAGGCGAAAGGAGATTGGCCTCGGCGAGCGTTACCTCTATGAAAAAGATACGCGCACCGTCTCCTTTTCGGATTTCATTAATGTCGAACTGGTGCTGTACAGTAATTATGACAATGTGAGGTCCATACCAAATATGATAGATGGCTTTAAACCGGGTCAGAGGAAAGTGATGTTTACCTGTTTAAAACGTAACGACAAACGTGAGGTAAAAGTGGCCCAATTGGCGGGCTCGGTCGCCGAGCACTCAGCTTATCACCATGGCGAGACATCTTTGATGGCGACTATAATTAATCTTGCTCAAAATTTCGTCGGCAGCAACAATATTAATCTTCTACAGCCTATTGGTCAATTTGGTACAAGACTCACCGGAGGAAAGGACGCTGCCAGTCCGAGATATATTTTCACGATGCTCAGGTATTTGCCACAATCTTATATAGAAGGAAAAGAAGAAATTATATATGTATGTCTATTTGCATATCATCACTTTCTTTCTTGCAGTCCATTAGCAAGATATATATTTCACAAGCACGATGACGCTCTATTAAAACACGAATACGATGATAATCAAAAGATTGAACCTGTCTTTTACGTGCCTGTGATTCCTATGATATTAGTAAATGGCGCCGATGGCATCGGTACCGGATGGATGACAAAAATTCCGAACTACAATCCTCGTGAAATTATCGAGAATCTACATAGAATGATGGATGGCGCGGATCCGAAACCCATGGTAATATTGATATTAAATTATCTAAAAATAGAGAGAGAAGAAGAAAGTTAAAACCAAATTTTATATTGTATTTCTGTCACAGAGAAATACAAAAAGTATCGAGGCCTATCACTTTTTATTTGCGTCACGTAATCGTAATTTTTTTTTTAGTCTCCGTACTATAAAAATTTCAAAGGCGTAGTGGAGAGTTGTGGCGATTATCGCTACGTTATAAGCGGGGAGATATCAGTGATCGGACCCGATAAATTGGAGATTACTGAACTTCCCATTGGTACATGGACACAAACATATAAGGAAACTGTGTTGGAGCCCATGTTACATGGAAGTGAAAAAATTCCGGCCATCATCACGTAAGTATTGTATAAAATCATCACGAACAGAAGAATATCAAGGCATCAGGATTCGAACTTAAGATCTCTTACTCATAAAGCAATCACTCTGCCACTGAGCTATTAGCCTATTTACAACACACTTCTCTGTTTACCTATATATTCTTTTGATTATAATATTATAATTGGTGAAACAATTTGTGTGAGGGAATTTTCTTACATTCTTTTATATTTTTTTCATATATATTTTGCCGTAGGGATTACAAAGAGTACAATACAGATACGGCAGTGCACTTTATAATAATCTTGAATCGTGACAAATTATTGGAGCTAGAGAGGGAAGGTCTTCATAAAGCGTTTAAAATCCAATCAACTACGACAATAACATCCATGGTAAGATACCGACATGTCGTACTGATTTTAAATGAAAAATTCACAATATCTCTTCAACGCTATATTATCTTGTTGTATAGTGTGCATTCGACGAAAATCAATGTTTGAACAAATACGAAAACGTGATACAGATATTGAAAGTGTTTTATAAAGTACGTCTGGAGACGTATCACAAAAGGAAAGATTATCTAGAAGGAATTTTAAAAGCAGAATCAGCAAAACTATCAAATCAGGCTCGTTTTATTCTCGAAAAATGCGATGGTACTCTAGTAATAGAGAATAAGAAGAAAAAGGATATGATAGCGGAATTGGTCAGACGTAATTACGATTCGGATCCGGTCATGGTTTGGAAACTATCTCAAAACAGGGAGCAAGTATTAGTAAGTAGCATTTTGCTTCAAAATTATCATATTGCGAAAAAAATTATAATTACTTATGTGAATTCATCTATTCTGCTACATTAGGAAGATCAAGTAAGTTAATCTGAAAAGAAATAAAATGTGTAAAATTTTTAATTTAAATGTAACTTTTTCAATGAACACACTCGTTTTTCAATGGAAATCTTAAATCTTTTGACAAAGATTCTTTTTGCTATTTTACAAAAATAAGCGAGGAATTTTTGTTTAAAGAATTTAATTTAAATTAAATTCCTTGCTTTGCATCATGATTGTATTTGCCATTACATTATATATATAATTATTATTGTGCGTGCGTGTGTGTATATGTATGTACAGCTTCATCAAGAATTTTAATTGTAAAAATAGGAAGAAGTAGGAGAACACGATGACGAGAATGCTCCGACTGCGACTGCGATGGAGAAGGAAAATTTTGACTACCTTCTTGGAATGACGATGTGGACTTTGACAAAGGAGAAGAAGGATGATTTATTACGGCAACGAGACGAAAAAATGGCAGAGCTAAAAAGACTGCAAGTCCGCACTCCAATCTCTTTATGGAAAGAGGATTTGGACAATCTATTGACTGAATTAAATAAGGTATATTCATCTTTTTCTTCTTCTTCAAAAGGAAAACTATTATCATAATTTATATATCTTTGTGTATATAGTTGGAAGAAAAAGAGCAGAAGGAAGATAATAAAACAAAACAAAAAACCAAAAAACCGCCTTCAAAGTTTTACAAAAATGAAGATACTCGTCGCATAGTTCCCGTTATTGACGTTGAATTGAAGAAGAAGATAGAAAAGGCGGATATTGTATCAAAGGATAAAAAGGAAGGCATAGTAAAGAAGTCGAGGGTAAGTTTATCATATATTACCCTTTATGATTTTTCTGTATCTGTATCGTTTTCATATCTATAAATCTACCTTTTGTATCAGACAAAGAAGGAGCCAATCTCTGTAGAGGAGAAAAGCGAATTTGATGCAATAGCCGATAATTTCAAGCCTCTCGATCATAGGCTTGGAATTTCTCCCGAAAAGTTGGAAAAGAAAGCAGCTGCAAAGAAAGGTCAGTATTCAGTACTTGTAACTCACTCGCATATTACATATTTTGCAACAGACATTTAAACAATATACATTCTTTCACTATAAATAGGATTGAAGCAATCAACATTGCCATTCAAGCCGATCAAAAAAGGAGCGAAAAAGAAGGATAAAGATTCGGACGATAGTGATGACATCGATTTCGGTAGCATTTCGCCGCTTCCACAACGGACTCAATCTCGCAGAGTTGCAGGTATTGTTTCTTTGTCCATTCGAAAAATTAGTATATATTTTATCATTTCTCGAAATATTATTACTTGCTGAATCTATTTGAGTAACAGTCAAGAAGAAATATAACATGAGCAGTGAAGATTCGGACGATAACAGTCGCGATATGTTCGGACCTTCTTCAGACTCTGAACAAATGTATGTATAATCGTTATCAAATACTATTCCGAGTTCCATTTGTCATTGCATATTTTTGCTTACAGATCCAAGAAGAATGATTCTATTATGGTATTAAGCGATTCCGATGACAACTTCAAACCAAGCAAGAAACCGCCTCAACCAACTCGTAAGTGGATATGTATATTACACACGTATAATTATACATTTAAAAAATACTAATTGTTTATTTATCTATACAGCAACTTCGGAAGAACTATTTGATTCGTTAGTCGGCAATTCTTCTCTGCAGAGCCAACAAAAATCTTTAATATCCTCGTCCGGGGAAGACTCTTCTGTAAAGTTTACGCCGCCTAAAAAGGGTAATTACATTTATCTCTTCAGACGACCAAGTAGATTAATTTATTCTGTGTAATCGTTACACCCGTATTCTTTTATAGCACCTGCTAAAAAGAAATCCGAGAACAGCAAAGGAACAAAGAGGAAAGCAAAGAAAAAATCAAAATCGTCCGAGGACTCTGACACGGATGATATATTTACTAAACAAAATATTGTAAGTATACGATAACAGTTTAACTAGATATATTTGTTATGTAAGAATTTTGTCTGCTAATTTGAAATTTCTTTTTTTAGACGAAAAAGAAAAAGAAGAAATCTGATTCTGACGAAGAGACGATAACGGATAGTTCACCGCCGCCACGCAAAATTGTTGGTCGAGTTCGGAAGCCTGTATCTTACGCGCTCAAGTCGGACGACGACGAAGATTCGGATTGAACCTTGTTCTATTCGCGCCTTGCCGAGTGTGATTGACATTAGAGTCTAGTTTAAAGTGTGAATCCCTGAAAGCAAGGCGGATGGAATCGTTATGAAAAGACAAGTTTAATCGGAGAATTTTAGAAAGACTTCGTCTTCACTGAGATTGTCGATCGTGACACTAGTAGTAATTTTATGTGGACTGCGTACTGGAATCTGCTAAGCGTATTAAAAATGTGTTTCGAGGTATATTTATTTCTCGAATTGTTAACTCGGGAAATTTACTGAAACGACATTAAATTTATTCTGAGTTTTTTTTTTCTTTGGGAAAAAAACACCTCTTACATCTTGTATATAAGTTCATTATTCGAATACGCATAGTATTGTAAATGCGAGTAGAATTTTACGAAACTAATCAATACTGTGGACAGCGCTACAGGACGTATGGGTGTGTCCAGAATATTTACACGAGTCTCATCGCGTAACTTGAGTCTTTCCCAAAAAATTCGTCAAAGATTATATTGTGTTATATTTATGATATATCATCATTTCAACATGTTTAATGTTATCTTTCTTAGAAAGAAAAAAAAATCAGATAATACGTGGCTCATATCTTGCGAAGAGAACGCGTCCAGCACTGTCTACGCTAGATAGATTAATTAGCACCGCGTAATACGCGAAGAGGGGACAGCCCTTTCCAGATCTCACGATTATTGCACAATTGTTACGCACAATCGTATTACTCTTCGCCGCCGGAATCTCATTTGTTTTCGGTGAAAATTTGAAAAAAAGAGACGTATACTGATCCCGGAAAATGTTTTATAAAAAATGACAAGAAAGAAAAATATGAAATATACACAATTTTTAAATATATTTTTACATACGCGTCACAATATGGTTTTTTCAGGTTATCTAAAAGACTAAAGAAAATTATACACAGCGGTAAATGTCTATTATACATATATACATATAGAACGGATCTCTTACGGCTAATGCGGCGCTCAAATATCGGTTAAGCGAAAAACTGTCGGACGTTTATTTTTAACTTTATACTGACCACACGTAGAATAAAGTAAGTTTACTTTGTGCTCGTTTTTCACTGATAGATAACAAAGAAGTTTGTAGATTTTAAAATGCTGAGCGCATTCTCATGAATTGACTTTTACGGTTATTGGTGTTCATTAAATTCCACTTTTGACTGTACATACATCTACTAGTTCTGTGTAGTCGTTCATTCGTAGGATAAGAATAAAGAGAATTAATGATTGCAATTATCGCGGCGATCTTGCACTTGCTATTAAGTGAGTATATCTTAATACAGAGAGCCGATTATATAAATTTTCGAAACCATTCGATTACATCCCTTGAGCGCGCGCGCGCGCGCGCGCGTTCTCAGCCTAATCAATACTTTGTATCTTCAGCGATTTTCATTTTTATATAATTCGCATACACGAAATAGGAATATATATATCAATAAAACGTTTTATCTTTTTAGACTCGGTAATTCATTGTTTAACATTGTTTACCAGAAAAGAAAGAAAAACAGAAGAGAAACGAAAAGCGAGGGATACACACCGTGAGAGAGAGATGCGTGAGATTTATATTTAATTAATAAGAGTTTACTAACTTTTTTTTTAAATTATACACAAATACGTAAATTTATTGCTATAACATTTCATACACCATCTTTGACGCAATTCCAATGTTTCTTTTATTTCTCTTTTTTTATTTTATCTTTAGGAAGATCGTGACTATGCCGACACGCAGGGCCGATTGAAAAAAAAAGAATGGCGTCTATTATTATATTTGATAGTGTGTATTTGACAGATTGTGTAATATCTTAATCGATAAAAAGGTATTTCTTCCCTTCTTTACGTTCGCAGTGGAAACAATTGTAGATAAAAAATTTCTCTCTCTTTCAATCTATCTTGAACGCATGCAAGTTGACCAATTGCCTTCTCTCTGAGGGATCCTATAGATATGTACAGATATAAAATCCTTCCTGTCGCAAAGTATATAAGCATCGAATACCTTTATGACGATGAACAAAAGATATTCGATATAGCATAAATACTTATTCGAACAATATTCTCTTAAGGCCGATTATAACAATTTTGAGAGATACAAGCTCTATTCAACTCGAAGTCAAAACGATATAATCGGAAAGATGTGCGAGAGAGAGAATGACAAATTCATGTATTTTCACTATTTTAAATATTTGCTTCTCCTCCCCATCTCTCTCTTCGAATCAGCGAAAATATTTTTTAAAAATTTACATCAATTATCATCATAGAGAAAAGAATTATGTTGAGCAAATTATGCAATTTTGAAATTTTATCGTAAGAAATCGTCAATAGATAATACGCTTTGCTAAAAGAAAAAAAAAAATACATTTGCTGCGTGTCTTTTTTTCACGAGAAATAGGATGCAGGATGTGGGAACAGTTGGCATTTTTTCTTTTCTTTTCTTTTTTTTTTCTTTTTTGTCAAAATTGAAGCGGCGGATCTAAGTAGTAGTAGACTCTCTGTTCAGACTTGTAATTGTATTCTCCTCTCTCACCACGCTTTTACCAATCACATTGATGGTATTGAGCCGTCATCAATACCTGGTGCCCATATTGTACCAACAACTGACGCAACACTTTTAACAACACACGCACTCACTCGCTCTCAGTCTCTCTTTTTTTTTTCTCTCGTTCGCTCTCAACGCATTCCGTTTCTCCTTTTTCTCTTTTACTCCCAGAAGCTACGGCTCGTCGACGGACGCGACTATAATACAAAGCAAGGACACTTGATAAAATAACTTAGTCTTCTATTTCATAATTATCTATATATAACGTACATATATATATAAAACAAATTACGAGTAAAGAAATAATGATGGGGTCGGTATTAGCGGTTCACGATTCTCTCATCTTAGAAATTTACTCTTTTCTTTTATCCATTTTTTATCCGTCGTCTGATTAATTAATTAATTAATATGTCGTCTAGCCATTTCCACGAAACTTGCTCTATTATACGCACATTTGGATTCGCTTGCTCTCTCTACCTTTTCTTTTCTCTCCCTTTTCCTATCTCTTTTGACAAAAAAGGGAGAGAAGAGGAAGGAGAGGAGATAAAAGAAAAGAGGAGGTAGAGTGAAGAAGGGAAAACATAACGCGCTTCGATACTGCAAATCTCATCGCGGAGTTTTAAACCATACACGCTTGAAAACGGGGTTTTTTTTTTAAAGTGATGGTGATAGTGATGGACTACGATCCTATAATATTTTTCACTTTGGGAGCACATCGCGATTCTCTCTCTCACTCTCTCTCTCTCTTTCTCTCTGTCTTTCTTTCTCTCTATGCTCACTTCGCTTTTATTCTCTCTTTCTAACGGACTATTCGTTCCGGCATTATAGATATAAAGCCCACTCTCGTTTCAGAATAGGAACAACCAATCAAATCTCCTTCGTGTGTAATTGTGTCGTGTACATGTTTCGTGTGGATGCGCGTGTATGTTAGTCGTTATTAATCATGATACAGGTAATAATGTTAATATTCGAATAAAGTAACATGATACGCAGGCCGAGCATTCATGGAATGTCGGAAACCGGCGCCGGAGGTCATGCGAGGATAGAGCCACCACAGTTGTCTTCCCACTGTCAATGTTTATCGTCGTCCTTTTTACACCATATATATATATTATGTCGGATTTATTAGTTTTATATATATATATTTATATATATATATATAGTATAAATATATACATTCACACTAATTTTAACAATCCTCTAGCGTTCACACATGCACACTAAAACGCCAGGAGAGAGGAACGTTGTCTTCGTAAAAGCGATTACTGCGATTGCTCCGATTATTTTTTTTCAGTTTCTTTCTATTTTTTCCCCCTACTCTTCGTTGCTTTCTTTTCTCATCGATTTAATTTTGCTTCCCTCGGAAGAATTGTTATTTTATCGTAGTCTCTCTCTCTCTCTCTCTCTCTCTCTCTCTCTCTCTCTCTCTCTCTTGTTTTCTCTCTTTTTTTCTCTCATACTCTGTTTCCCCCCTTCCCCTTAATCTAAGCGTCACTCTTATAATTCTTAATGACTTATCACATGTTATTTTCTCGTTCGCACGCTCGTTCGTTCTCTTTCGCTCTCTCTCTTTCTTTTAAACACTATTATCAAGTCAGCGCACTGTTTGATACAAGGAACGATAATACAATTGAATATTTACGAACACAACATTGTTTCTTGTCATGCTGAATAATGTGGCGTGGCTTGTAGAAAGACGCAAGCTCCTGGACTTGCGGATGACCAGTCTCGCATCTCTCTTGCAATGTCCTATGTAGTCGATCCTGTAAGTATAGTTGTGACGGTGTGGTGATGGCGGTGGTAGTTGTGGTAATAGTTGTGGTGATGGTGGTGGGTGGTGGTGACGGTGATAGTATCCGGTTTTAGTATTTACAATTGATTATAATAATCGTTATTTCCCTAAGATGAGATGGTGTGCACAGTCCGAGCGCTCAAAATTTGGCATGTACTAGTATATATCGAGGATTTCGTCCTTAGTTCTTCCTCTGCACTACGAACTGCTCGACGCGTTCATACCACTAAACATGCCGATATTGAACGAACTCTGCTGTTGCTGCTGTATCTGTTGCTGTTGCTGTTGCTGCTGGCTGTTCGCTTGGCGGCCATGTTTTGGCACTGGGGGTTGCAGGTATTCGTGTCTAGCTAGTGTCAGTACGTCTATGCGTTCCTCCTTTCTATACGCTAGGCAACTTCTTATGAAACTCTGCAACAACAAAACGTCACGTTGTAGAACGATACGTTTTCATTTTTATAAACAAAAATTTACACTATCAACGATGTTACCTTTGCTTCGTTACTAACGGTCGGTTTATTCGCAAACTGAACTTCTGTGGCCTTCAGTATCGTATTCTCCTCCAAAATGGTGGCTTGCGACTGATTATGACCAAAGGGCTGTGAAAAAAAATATTCGCATTATATTGTAATGCGAACGATAAGTAATGAATTCCATGTAATAAATATATATATATATATATATATATATATATATATATAATCCATGTAATAAAAATATATGTAATAAATATATATCACGATAAATACCTTTTTACCGTATAGGCATTGGTAAAATATAACTCCTACACTCCAGACATCAACTTTGGACGATATTTTAGGAGGATTTTTGCCAATGACAAAACATTCGGGAGGTAGATACCTATATAATAAGTTTATATATATATATTTGAATTTCCAATAAAAATTTATGATTAATGTACAATGAAATAATTTGGAACAGTAAAAGAGCACGTACCAGTAAGTACCCGCTCCTTGGGATGTTAAATCCATTCCGTGATCTGGATTATAATTTTCCTCATCCATAACTTTACTTAAACCAAAGTCTGTGATTTTTATTTCGCCGCACACGTTACCTTCGGTTAACAAAATGTTACCTGCAAACAAAAACATCAAACGATGAGACTTTACTCCTCTACTAACTAAAAACAAGAGTAAAATTTTTCGACAAGCCTGTTCTCGATAAAAACTCTAACATTTTAAGTTTACCTGGTTTTAGATCATAATGTATGACTGGGGGTTTTATTTCATTGAGGTACTTTAATGCCGATACAACTTGCATAACAATAGATCTCGCTTCTCTCTCGGGTATAGTCTTATGCTGAAATAAGAGGTTTAAAAATGATAAAACATAGTTACACGACTATCTCGCTGAAGTGGAAATTCGCGTAAAATGATGAAATCATGTGTACCTGTTTGAGGTAAAAATCTAAATCATGGCCATCACAATATTCCAAAACAGTACAAAAGGAATTGGCATCAATTTCAAATACGTCATATAATTTTACAACTCGTGGATGATCCAATGCCTTGTGTATATTATACTCTCGTAATGCATGCCTGTTGTAACAAAAAACAATAGATGGAAATATTTTTTTAAAAGCATTTTATCTTTATTAAAGTGTCCCCCTTATAGTAATTAACAGGATGGTAACAGTTTAGTTAATAGTTTACTCACTTTATATAATTAGCCTTTTTATCTTCTTTCCAGTCTTTATTTAATTGATGCACCTTACAAGCCACGTACCGTTGCTCCTTTAAGTCAAATGCCTGTGACAAAAAAATCCGCGGGTAACGATACGGGTAAAGATAAATAATTAATTCTCCCATTTGTATAAATTAATATAGTTAATGAAACGACGGAAATGTGTTATATCACCTTATGCACTTCGCTAAAACCGCCCTTTCCTAATAACATTAGCAGAAGATAACGTTCATTCAAAACAGGATGGGAGTTGAATCTCGATTGGTCCTCGTTGTGAATACGCTTCAATTCTCTGATGTGTAGGTTCCGCTCCCTTTCGAGCTTCTCCATTTCTAATTGCAAATCCGCGTCTTCTTTCTTCAACGCGCTTTGTCTTAACTGTAAACACATGCACGTTATCATAAGCTTGAAAATGAATATATTGGAATATTTTCAAGGAATATGATCGCGATGCATCGTACGTACCTTGAGTATTTCGTCAGCTTCATAATACTCTTGCCACGTATACGACCCAGGTACTGCATCCGGCTTCAAAAACGTCGCCTCGGTGCCATTATGCAAAGAGGGTTGCGGTTGACTACGTTTCCTACCAGTTTCACTATTCGACGGCCTCTTTTTGAGCAGCAGCTTCTTCTGCTTGTCGATCTCTTCTCGTTCGGTCGCTATTTCCTCTTGCCGCCGTGCAAGCTCGTGAAACGCGTAACCGTCGGTCCAATTCTCTTGAAAGGTCGCGCCCACCCTCTGCGTCACGAATTGACCCAACCTCAGTCTATTTTGCATACACTTCTGTCTAGCCTCCTTTTTTTCTATGTTTGATTTTTCTTTTAATAACTTCTTTACAACGTCTATACACTTATTTATATGCGATTTATGCTGCTCAATCAATTTTTGTTGATTAGCCATTTGATGCCTAAGTTCCTCCGTTGTCTGTAACAAAAGTTTAAAAAAAAAATATCTTTAAATGTAAATTCATTTATCAAAAAGTTATAAAACTCGCCTGTTAGAAAGAATACATGTTAAAAAAAGAGAAGAAAGAGAAAGAAAGTATAAATTTCATGTAATTTAATCTCGATATAGAGATGATAGATTTTGAACAAACTATAATCATAATTACAACTAAACTTACCCTATTTAATTCGTCAATTTTGTTGTTACGTAATTCTAAGTCTGAAGATGCTTGAGTTTCAAATTCCTGTATCCTCTGGCAAGTAAGTTCTGTCTGAAATGCAATTTGTATATTTTTTACAATAAATTAATTTTACAATATTACCGTAACATTCTGATACATTTGTCAGCATTGATCGTAGTAAATACTGGATACCTTGCTGCACGCAGAAAGAGCATAATACATACAAAAAGAGACAATTTAACATATTGTCAACAATTTATATCCGGCAAAGTTGCACAGATACAGCGCATTTATTTGACAAAAATAACTAGCCATTTAATTGTATAACACAATAATTTTTATATTTCACTACAATATGTGTAACTTTATTTTATTATAGAAAATAAATTGAAGAGCAAAACTCAGGCAAACACTGATAGAACTGAAAATCACATACAGGCAGCAAGAAAAACACCAAAAATGTACGCAGTATAAATGATGCTCATGTAAATGCCAATTAATACACAACCCCAAAAGAATTTTTGGTAGAATTTATTTTGAAATAGTCGAGGAATATTAGATTCATTAAAACTCAAATGTAACGTTCACAATGAATCCCAAGAACTAAATATGCATATGCCAAAGTAATAAAATATGCCTTTAACGCTTCGCTTTACACTTTGAGCAATCGATAATTGAGACTTTTATTTTCGAAATAAACACTATTAGATCATTAAATACAAGTGTTATATATACATGTACATGTATAACAAGAAAAAGTGGCACTACAAGATAGCCTGTATTTGTACAATGACAAATGTATACAGTGCTACAGTTTGGCCAGAAATTAGCTGATTTTATTGCAAACATTTGACAAGAAATGCCCATCGCTACGTCACATATATGGGACAAGTGAAGAAATCTAATTATCTATGTAGCAATTTGCAGATTACAAATAAAATTTGTTACACAAATACGAAGAAGAAAATAATCAATGAATTTTTATAATGATATCTATTCAATGCTCTTATTATTTTATTTTTGCACAAAAGATTGACCAAAAGCAAACTTTTGTGAAAGAATTATCACAAAAATCTTTAACTTGACAATTATTTATCTTTATCAGTGTATTTTAGTAATTAAGAATAATAATAATTTTGCTTATTCCTTTTTCTGTCTATTTTAATGATAAAACTGTCATATTTTGTACGGGAATCTTTAAAAAAAATTAAAGCTTCCAAATTTTTACGACAAATTGCCAATTTTGTGATGGAGATATTAACCATAGGTCATTTCTTATAAAATGCTTGCAAATATTACCGCATTTTGCTTACATTTGGGGTGTTAGTCTTCGCTTGCCTGACCTGGCTTGTCCTATTGAGGTTGGTAGGCCTTACCTGCACCTGCTTGCTGACCATCGAGCCTGCAGGTTGTGTCGAAACTGGTGGTGGAGGCGGTGGAGGTTGAGGGTGAGGTCTTGGTGGCTGCATCAGCGAAGAGAATTCAGCCACCGAATTAGGTGTCGTTACTTGTGGAAGTAACTGTTGAGGCGATGGTGGAAACTGTCGACAAGAAAACATAAATGTTATGCATAAATCATAAAGCTACTGCTTCCTAAATACTTTGCGCAACAGTAATCTTGAATCTTACCATGGGATAAGTCTGTTGAGGAGAGGGACTCTTGGCACCACCATGCCGAATAGGACTATTACCCAGATGATGCTTTGGGAAATACTCATTGATCTTCTTATTATCGAGAGCAGCGATCGATCTAGCGCCCTTACTCGTTACAGAGCTACTTGAAACACCCCCACCTCCGTCATCAGCCTTACGTTTTCTTTTTCTCTCAGAAGTAGTCCGTGGTATTTTTTCCGGAGTGTTTGCATCCACCTCCTTATCACTATGCGATGAGCCTAGTTAATATATATATATAATTATAATTCTGTTAGAAATGCCAGATATCTTTAATATGGATAATTATAATAGATAATGAATAAACATTGTCAAAGGTATATCTTAACAAGAGCGCAAAGAAGCTTTATTTATTTTAGAAGCCTCTTTGAAACACGTAACTTTCCTTCGAGACAAGTTGATTGCCCAAAGGACCAGAATGCGTGCTGAGAGAGCCAAGATTATTCTTCATGAAATTGGTATCATTTTTAAGGGAATAATGTCGACTTACCAGTGCTCATGTTCGAGTCTTGACTATGAACTGTCTGACCAGAGTTTACGGTTGTTTGGGGTGCCATCTGAATTTGTGACCCAGCAGACATCTGAAAGCAAAAGGCGTTGCGACTATAAGATATATATCGCAAACGAGTCGCGACGAGAAGAAGAAGAAGAAGAAGAGGAGGAGAAAGAGAAACGGCCGCGAGAGAGGAGAGGAAAAATATAATGCAACGAACCAAATAGCGATGGACTACAGTCACCGAGAGCGCCTGTGCGATTTGACCGTTATCGAGGGTAAGGCACGTCGCCGCCACATCGTAGAGACGAGAACGACGAGACGAGGCCAACACCGCGACGAGTCCGGCCGCGAAAGGTAGCAGTGACAACGACGGACGGGAGCGCGAGAGAGGCGGCTCGACGATACTGTTTCTCGACTTGAGAAGCGCGACGAGAGAGGTTACGCTACGCGAACGGCGAAACGACCGGCGTACGACGCTACCAGCTCGACGACGATCGCGTGTGTTGTTAAAAAGACACGATTCACACTCTCGAAGGAACAAACCTGGAGGGATAGAGAAAGACTTATGAAGCGAGGAAGAGGGGAAGGGACGAGGGGTGCCGGACGGAACGAAACGGCGCGGAAGGAGGGACGGAGAGCGAGAGCGGGAGAGAGAGAGAGAGAAGAAGAAATGGAAACACGTCGAAAGCTAGGGAGAGAGAGAGAGAGAAAGAGGACGGAACATGCGTGGAGAAGCGAGAGAGAGGACGACACCTTCCACGACGACTTGTGGTGAAATCCCATAGTAATCGCCGTGTCAACGGTAAACGAAATTTCGCGCACGGTCCTGCCGCGAGGAACGGCGAGGGAAACGTCCGACATATACACGTTTAGAGTCGGAGGAATCACGACACACAAAATGGAGGACCTTAGAGCGGCGGGGAGGAGGAAGGGAGCGGAAGGGCGACGGAGGTTCCAAGGGGCAACACGCGAGCGCGAGAGCGCGCGCGCGCGCGCGCGCGCGGGGGAGGAAGCGAGCCGAGCGAGAGAGCGACGAGGGGAAGCGGAGGGGGGAGGCGGCGAGAAGTTGACGGCGGGGAGAAGTGCATGAGCGATCGAGGGGGGAACCGCGGGCGCGCACCGCGAGGGGGCAGTTTTACTCACTACGTTGCGCCTCCGAACTCTCTCTCTACTCGGCTCGAGGCCGGCCTCGGTTTTAACCGACTCTCCGTCGTGTCGCGCGGCGGTACATATTTTCGTACGTCGCGTTCGCGGATCGAGAGGACGGGCGGGGAGGGGGAGGGGGAGGAGGCGGGGGCGCGCGCGCGCTACGCCTTCGATTAACAGCGTTTGATAAGCGAAGGAAGAGAGCGACGACACGCTACGTCAGGCTGGCCGGCCGCGTCCTGCGTTTGCGGCGATAAATTACGCGCGTCTCTCCTCTTCTCTCTCGCGTTGTCGGCCGACGCGACTACCTGCGGAGCACCGTCCCCCGGATCAACGCGCTCGCGACGAATGCCGTCGCTACCGCGGGCATCCACCCGTTTGACTAGCCGTGTCCAAGGGAGAGCCCAGGAAGTGGACGATTGCTCCGAGAGAAAGTCATTAAGCAATCAAACGTAATTAGATATTACGATAATGGTAGTTTGTTTTTTCAAATCGTACAGGAATGTGGACAACGCTCTAGAGAGGTTCGATATTTTGATTTTATGTATATCGCGCGGTCTACCCACGTATCTCTCAAAGTTGTTGGGCTTTCTCTTTTCGACCGATCAAAACATAATTAATCCGATTATCGCCCTCGCGATTATTATTATAGATTTTTTCACGCTCGCCAACTTTGCAGCGCGATCTATTTAAGGATCGATGAGAGCCTTTATTTTTGTCGCGGGACTTGATATTATTTCGAGACAGTTTTTTATTATACTTTCATCTCGATATAGAACCAAGGGAAAGAGTGAGATTCGCGAGGAAGAAATTGTTCGGCAAGGAACAACAAACGTCATCGCGACCCGTGTTACGGGAATTCAAAGTTCATTTTCTCCTAACGATCGAATGCCGATCCCGTTTGAAAGAAACTAGAGGTTAATGACTTTATGAATTAATTACTTATCTTGACTTTCATACTTTTATACGAGTTCGTCAGAGAGAAACGAGTTCTAGATCGACATAATCCTTGAGATGGATTTAAAGCGCAAATCGATACGCAACGTGTTTTAGTTTGGAAAAGACTAGATTGTTAAATCGTGCAATCGCTTTTTCATCAAGAACACGTCGATCGCCATGACAATCGATGCGCTTGACGTTTGTCGCGAAAATAAAAACAAGGTGCGATATGTATGCACCCGTGTGTCAAACTCGCGGGCCGAAGAAAAACGATAAATAAAAGATTAAAAAACGACCGGCGAGAAATCCAATCTGTATACGGTAAACACACGGTACACATCCGCGTATCTAATCTCGCATTTCATCGCGTCTCAGGCGCGCACAATTCGCGCCGTTTCGCAGATAATCCCCCTAGTCACGTGACACGGTAGTATATCGTCGCCTCGACCTCGACTATGCGACAACGAGATGCTCGATCCCGCGGATTCCTCGCGCATCGCGCACGAACAAATCCGACCGCGGGAGAGGACAGCAAACTTCCTTATCGATGGATCAGTGCCCGGAACTGGGCTAGAGGGCCGGCGGAGGGAGGGAGACTCGTGTCTCCGTCCCCCTCCCTCCGCTTGTCCGTGCGATCCGCCGTCGAGATGGATGGCATTCGCGTTCGCGTACGAATGCGCGCGAGCGGATGCGTGCCCGTGCAAACGCGTCTGCGGAGCGACTCGCGAAGAATGTACACATCCGCGTCTTATACAAACCCGGTGAATATCGGCGCACATGCACAGACTCTACTTCTAGACTGCACTCTTGCAACTCGGACGACCTGCCCCCGATATGGCCATAACCGACTTCAAGATCGGTTCGTTCGCGAACGAACCGCGATCGAGAAACGTAGAGCGAGTCGCGTCACGACGTTGCATGTACTTCTACGCGAGAGAGGGCCTCCTCTCCCCCCCTCGCCCGTTCGTTTCCTCTCGAACGCGCTCGTGAATGTTGACGCGCGGCTGGCGCGCCGGGTAAACAGCGGAGACGGTAACATCAGCGGCGACGACAGCGGTGGAGCCCCGAGCGAGCGGCCGTCAATGGACACGTCGTTAAACGGCGTGTCGCGCGTCGCGCCTCTCCTCGCTCGGCGGAGTCGCGAGAGTCGCGAGCCAAAAACCCGGCGCGTGGACTCGCCTAATCGAAACGGAACTGGAACTGTCCGACCGCTCTGTGTGTGCCGCCGCCGCCGCCGCCACCGCGCTCGCATACTACTACTACTACTACTAACTACTACTACCTAGCCCCGAGGTTTCTCTCCGTCTCTCTTTCCTCGTCCCGCTCTCCTCGTCCTCCCTCGCTCCTCTCTCTATGTACGGCAAATGAGCAACGCGCGAGATTCCGAGATGCGGCAAAAGGTGCAACCTCCTCTTCCACTTCCCCGCGAGGCCGCTACCACCCCGCGTCGCGCAACAGAGACGGAGAGGAAGAGGGACACTTTGGTAGAATGCGCGAGAGAAGCGAGCAAGAGAGAAAGAGGGGTGGGAAGGGGGAGGGCAGACGTTGGCGAGCTTGAACGGAGGAGAGGGATGGACGGCGCGATAAGATAGAAAGAGACCCCGACTGACGGGGACAGGATCCGCGGGGGGTGGCGCGGAAACGGGGAGAGCCAGAGGGTGCGGGGGTTCGAAGGGGAGGAGGAGGGAGGCATATGAGACATTCCTTCGGTGAACGGGTCGACCGAGTGTGAGTGCAAGCGAGCCGGTAAAATCGATGTGGCGAAGTGTGGTTGTGCCGCTACAGCGTGCGAAGGGTGCTCCGCTCTGTTGTACTCTCCCCCTCCCGCCTCCCCCGCCTCTCCCCGCTTCTTCGCCGCCGCCGCCGCCGCCGCCGCAGCCCCCTTGCGTCTCCATCGCCACCGAGATACGTTTTCCCGTGTGTGATCCGCGGTTCCGCCTTGCGGCGTTACTTTGCGCCCCGATGTTGTACCTCGGAGAGAAGCGAGCAATTTGGGTTGGCGAATGACTGCCTGCCCTTTTTTCGCCGTATGTCCATTTATCCCGCGAGAAAAGAATTTCTCTCTCTTTCTGCATATAAATAGAGTTTTATAAAAAATGTAACATCTCTTATATAAACTAGCCAGGAAGGAGGATTATGCCCGAGGCTACGATCGGTACCTGGATAATTTTTTTGATAAAGTTTAGGGTGTGTTATTTACTAGTAATAATGCCGAAGGAGTAGCTTTCCAACAGATTCATAAGCCGTATAAATCGTGCTTCTCTTGAAATCCAGCAGATTGAATGAGCTTCGGTTTGCGGATCAATGTGAAAGCAAATATCGAGGTAAACTATACAACAGGTATTCATCGAAAAAGATAACGGTTCTAAATCTAACAAAGAAGATAGTAGTTGCCGACAAGGAGAAAGTTTGAGTGTCGAATCTTTTTCCTCCAAAAAACGACACGTCTTATCTATCTATATGACCCGAAAAAGAGTTTTAGAAAAACAATAAAAGTTTCGGCTCTTTTCAATCAATTGATAAGTTCTCGCTGCAATCATGTTAGATTACGATATCGATATAACATTGCGAATCTTTTCATCGTATTACATTCGAAATTAGCATATCTCGACAACGTGAATTGATAAAAAATATCTGGAAGACTATTTTAAATATCGATATTCAATAATTTTTATCGGCGATCACGAGACACATTGTTATTAGAGATCTAAGGAAAATGTTGAAAATGCATTCTATACATAGATTGAATTGTACAATCGCGTCACGAGAGAGAGAGAGAGAGAACAATTGAAAAAGGAGAGTTTCCGAAGGAGCGGTTTCCCGTTTGCCCACAATCCCTCGCAGCGAGATACGCTTGTTGGGGTTTTTTACTAGGTTGACCAATCACACGGAAACTCTGGCAATCGGATATCACTCGTTTTCGACATGCGCAAAAACTCTAAACATATTTAGACGTGTAAGGCCAGGGAAAAATATGCACGATTTTTCCGACGTTGTAAT